TTCTGTGTGCACACGGAGCCGAATTTCTCGCTCCCGTGGCAGAAGAAGAGGCAATACAGCAGTAACAGCAGCGGGTTTGTGATTGAGGGGAGGAGAGTGTTGACGAATGCTCATTCGGTGGAGCATCACACGCAGGTGAAGGTGAAGAAGCGGGGGTCGGATACCAAGTACGTGGCCAAGGTGTTGGCAATTGGGACTGAGTGTGACATTGGTATGTCCTCATTGAACTTAGTCTACTATGTTCTCCTTATCAATATTTTGAAATCTTTAAAGGTAGGCTGTCCGCGCCTCGGTGATCGTTTGTTATGATACGTTTTGTGGTGATTATGATTAGGCCGGCTTGCTAGCATTCTCGACATCTAGAAACAGGTCTTGGGTACTCATTGCTTAAGAAAATACCTTGAGATTATAGAAGTTCGTCAAATAAAGTTTCTAGACTACTTGTAAGCGCGCATGCTGCGTGGTAAAATGATGCTGGTTATCAGCAGAAGTATCTTTTTTTAGGGACATTAGGTGATATCATGCTCGTGGGGTGAAATGAAATTGAAATATGGCAGTCCTTGCATTTTGGAGTCTTATGTTCGCTCTGTGGTATGCAGCTATGCTTACAGTTGATGATGATGAGTTTTGGGAAGGAGTGTCGTCCGTGGAACTTGGGGATTTGCCGGCACTTCAGGATGCTGTGACTGTTGTGGGCTATCCTATTGGTGGAGATACAGTATCTGTGACTAGTGGCGTGGTATCACGTATTGAGATCCTGTCATATGTCCATGGTTCCACTGAGCTGCTCGGACTGCAGGTTTTCGTTTAATATGTTATCGGTCTTATGATTTTTTAAACATTTCTGGCGGGCAGTAGTTTCTGACACATTAAACATTACCTGATACCTTTCTATGGTCATGGTTCAAGATTGATGCAGCTATAAATTCTGGCAATTCGGGTGGCCCTGCCTTTAATAATAAGGGCAAATGTGTTGGTATTGCGTTTCAGTCCCTTAAACAAGAAGATGTGGAGAACATTGGTTATGTCATACCAACACCAGTAATAATGCATTTTATTCAAGACTACGAGAAGAATGGAGCATATACGGGTACTTTTCAAACCCCCCCACGCATGCAAACCCGAAAAAAAGAAAACCCAAATCCCTCAAAAAACATTCATGGGCCTTCTCTGATGTGATTTCCTATCTTCTTGACTTTTTCTCTTGACAGGGTTTCCTATTCTTGGGATTGAGTGGCAGAAGATGGAAAATCCCGATTTACGTATGGCAATGGGTATGAACACTGATAAAAAGGGTGTGCGCATTAGAAGAATCGATCCTACCTCTCCAGAATCTGCAGTCTTGAAGCCATCAGATGTCATTCTCAGCTTCGATAGGGTTGATATTGCCAATGATGGAACTGGTAAGCCTAGAGCATCTCTAAGAGCTAAGCATCTAAAAGAAGCTTTTGAATGCTATATGCTGTATTTTAAAAAATTATATATGGTCTTACTCTGTTAGATTATAGTTCTGACAATATAGTAGTATTAACAACCGACGAATCTGTTAATTATTTATCATCTATTTTGTCTTTTGCTGTTTAAAAGGACATGTTTAACTTCTATTTTATCATATGCATGATTGTACTTGAAAAAGTAAGTAGTTTAAGAGAATGATTATGAAGTTGAAGAATCCTGCTTCTTTTAGGGGACATGTTGAGCTTTCAATACGAGGCTTTGTTGCTACAACTTGCAACCTTGCAATGGGGGATCATGATGAGTTTCAGGTTGTGAAAAAAAAAAATGCACACACACACACACACACACACATTTGAGTCTTGTTAACGAGTGCTCGCGGGACACATGTTAAGCATTTTTAATGAGGAAATATTCGAATTTCAAAAAACCAATTGTGCATATTACGGGACTATTAGTGCATTGGAAATTGCAATATCTTCTTATTTGATTGCTTAACAAGTGCCCTATTGACAAAACCCATTTTTTTTGTCCCTCTTTACAATGACTTGGATTTGATGTATGCTTCGTGTGATCTGACCCTTTACTACTTGTTCTGGTTGTTCTGTAGTTCCTTCTCGTCATGGAGAGCGTATTGGCTTTAGTTACCTTGTCTCGCAGAAGTACACTGGGGATAATTCAGTGATCAAAGTCCTGCGCGACTCCAAAATCTTTATATTTAATGTGAAACTCGCTACTCACAAGAGGGTCATCCCATTGCACAGTGAAGGCAGACCACCCTCCTACTATATAATTGCTGGATTCGTTTTTAGCACCGTCTCTGTTCAATATCTTCGTTCTGAGGTGCGTTTTTGACTTGGAGCCCTTCTATGTATAAATAAGTCCCGTGTGTAACTAGCTATGATAACATATATATTCATGGATGTTATCATCATTATCTACTTGTTGTGTAACGAGTACCCCTCTGTTTTTCGTTGGAATTGAGTCTGATCTATGTTAAGATTGCCACCTTTTCATCAGGGATTTTAAATTTCTTGTTTATTTATCACGTCTCTTACTAATGCCTGCAATCCCAGTCATATATTTTCAGACTATTAGATCTCTTGACCTGCTATCCACATTTTAGCCTTATAGATTCAGTGGTAGATTTTACAAGGTATGAACATTATGCGCATTAATTTGTTCATGCTTTTGGTGTGTTTCAGTATAAGGATAAATCTGAAACTCCTGTGAAGCTTTTGGACAAACTCTGGCATTCAATGCCACGGTCACCAGATGAGCAGCTTGTTGTGGTTTCTCAGGTACTCTCCCCGTAAACATCCACTGTATCCTCCTTTATCCATTCAACTATCAACCCATGAAGCTTGAGAGCCAAATTGGGGAAAAAAGTTGTAAATAAAATAGAGAAAAGATGGAAAAAGCTGTGGACGAAGCATCATTGGCATCGTCATTGCTATACTTATGTATGAGTCTATACACCGTAGGATCTGATTCATTATTCTGTCCAACACGTGGTAGGTTCTTGCGGCTGATATCAACATTGGGTACGAAGGCATTGTAAACACTGAGGTTAGCTTTATTACTTTTTTTTTTTTCTGGAAAGTGGAAATGAAATGCTTTAGTATGCCAAGTTTTGAAGCCATCTTATTGGGCGTGTTTAGGTTCTTGCTTTCAATGGTAAACCTGTGAAAAACTTGAAGAGCTTAGCCAGCATGGTGGAGAGCTGTGAGGAAGAATTTCTGAAATTTGATCTTGAATATCAACAGGTCTGTCTGTCTGTCTGTCTCTCTCTCTCTCTCTCTCTCGCACACACGCACGCTTGCACGCACGCACGCAGGCATGCACACACACACAGATGCACATTTGTCTGCTCTCTAAACAGGCATGCCAGTGTGATTTAACGACATAGCTTACAGATAGCGGTAGTCCATTATTATGTCTGTATAATTGTGCATGTGTAGCATGTTTAATGACTGGCATCATGTCCTCACGCTGGTTTGTTTTGTTCTCTTTATATGCATCCTTTTTTTGCAGATTGTAGTTCTTCGAATGGAGACTGCAAAAGCAGCTACTCTGGACATACTCAAAACCCACTGCATACCATCAGCAATGTCTGATGATCTGAAGAGCTGAAGCCCATATATGGTTGCATGGTATTGTTTTTGTGTCTTCCAGATTCATTGCACTGCTTCTGGCGGCCGTGAACCGATATCAAAAAAAGGGTCAGGTCTTACACGTGGGAATGCTCCTATTTGATAGTAGGAAAGTGTTTTTCATTTTTATCTGGACTGCTGTAGGGACATATTTCGGGCTGGGAATGGGATGTCAGCATGATCTCTTATTGTACTGCAGAAACCATAGGATGCATTTTTGCTTATGATCTTCACCTCTGTGATTGTTTCATTCTTGTGTACAGATGTACACTGCCCGCTGTTAGAGAATTCTCCAACGTGATGGGTGACTATGCTTCTGTAATTTACTTATTCTTTTACGAGTTATCCGTTGCTTTCAATGACATACACGAGGATTGGAGAAGGGCTTCGCAGCACCATGCTTCTCCTTGCTGAGTTTTCTCAATATGGATTGGGTTTCAATGTTTGAAACTGAAAGTTCTCCTTTCGTGTGTCTCTTATCTCAAGCTGAGGCCGCTATATCTAACTAGACCGGTTTTGGGATTGTTTCCATTAGCTAGCTTTCGTCATGCGATCTTTTTGCAGCTTCGAGTCCTCCTCCACCTACGAATGCATGGTCGCAAGATTGGTCGTGTCTGGAGATGCGCCGAATGAATGAGAGCATAGACATTGATGTTTATAAGGAATCACAGTCGAGATGTCTGCGATGATCTATCATGTCATGATAGTACCAAATGAGGATGTTTTTTCTTCCTCCCCACAATCTTCTCTCTAACCTCTTACCATCAATTCCATTACGGGCTACATTTTTTTCAATTACAACTAGAAATGACTTACAAGTATCAAATGACAAAAAAGAGGATGTTTAAATTGAAAAAATATGTCATCGTATTTAATATACTTGATTAATGGTAATGGACACCTTTTAACTTTGTTGTGTATGGTACAGTAGAATAATAATATCGAATTCCACACTATCAATTCGATGTGCTTTATGTTAGCACATTATTTTTTCTTGAATATGTAAAAGACATTCGAATATACGAGTTTTTTTGCAGGTGGTTATAAAAAGACATTCGAATTACAAATTTTTTTCCCTTCAAATCTGTCAACATCGCGCTCGCTAAATTATCTATCATTTATGGGAACTAAGGTTTTACATAAATCAAGGGTCTCTTGTGGATTATTGGTGTTTGGTTAGAGATTAACCTCATATCATAAAAAGAGCCTAAACCCCCATAGGGGCCACTGTGGCCTATCTGTTTGATAAACAGTGACGGTGGACTCCATGGATACGATCCTTACACGGGACGCTCTGTGTCCCTAATTCTCTCCATATCTTTTTCTTCCTCGGAGAGAGAAATATCCTCCGAATTTTTCACATCCCGGGAATCTCGAGATCCATGAATGAATCCTTTTTAAGGACATGCTTAGATATGTGGGAATTTAGGTTTTATTCAAAATCAAAGGAAGGATGCTATGAATTGTTAAGTTTGTCAAATTTATGCTTTCATTTTCTTGTTGAAGGTGATAACATTCAAGCATATGTAAGAGGAAAACTAAATGGTGAAAAAGGGAAAAACATAGAGACCCCTTATTTAAAGAGGTCCTCCGCACGATACAAAGTCGCGCTTCTCCTTCTCGCTCGCTTCTCGGTCATTCTCCGATTTCACAGAAAGAAGAAGAAAGAAGAGGAGGAGGAGGAGGAGGAGGAGGATGGGTTCGACGGAAGACGACTTGGAAGAGTTCTTGCAACAGAAGCAGCGCGTCAGGAACCCTCTCGTACCAGTAGGCAAGTCTCCTCCCCCGCTTCGTTTCTCGCGAATGGTTTGTTTGTCCTTTAATTTTTGCTCCTTGGTCGATTTTTAGCGTACGTGAATTGTATAGTTGCTCGTCGATTTGTGGGGGACATTTTCCCTCTTCTTGAAATCGGCGAGCGAGTCGGAGGAACTGAGGTTGAGGTTTAATCAGGGGGCGATTTCGCAATGCCAATGAACGGGGGATTCTCCATTTGGGCATGTGTTTGCGTGCTTTTTCCAGGGATCTTTCTCGAATTCGATTTTGGTCTAGGAAGCAGTGGGACTCTGCTTTGTGTTTATATGCAGTGTGAGAATCTGAACAGGTGTGTTCTGCCTCTTTTTGGTCGAAACGAAAGATGGGTTTTTCCTCTTGAAGTGCCGTGGACGCACATCGGAATTAACTTCGTTGTGAAAATGTAGCAACTTGTTAGAAAGATTGCTTCTTGGCATGCCATGTTATACCAATGAAGCAACTTGATCTAAAAGCTGCAAACTGGCTTGCCCATTACCCTGGTTTGTTAGTATATATGCTCTTGCGAATCTGTCCAAGATTTGCAGTCGCACTTTGATTAAGAAAAACTGTTTCCTCGGACCAATGACTTTGTAGATCTTCATGTTTATCAGGAGAGTTGGTCTCTCCTTCTTTTCTGCATTGCAGTTGTGCTTCAAGTGAGATTAGTAATCGATCTAGTTCAATGCATCAGCGGTGAAAGCTGATAATGTTGGCTTTTACTAGTTGAGACCGAAAATGGTTGTGGTTTGGTTTGGCCTTAGAACTTTAAGACTGAATAAAGGTGCAGCTCTAGACATTTGTTTGAAGATGATGGTTCCTTAGATCATCTGGTGTCACATGGTTGCTCTTTTTGTATTGAGCATGATGGGATTTAGATAATAACTGAATTGACCAAAGTCTGTCGTCAAACTGTTTATTATCGGAATTTAAATGCTCGGTTTTTCCATAATTACTGGTTTACTTCCTAGCGGACTATCTAACCCCCTCGTGTTGAGTTATGGAAATTTCTCTCAGTTTTCTGCAGTTGAATTGCTGTTGCTGTCCTACTGTGCTTTTGTTTAGCTTGTGTACTGGTTATTCTGTCTGTTTTAGGTTATTGATTTTAGGACTTCTTTCGATTGTTTTAGGTAACTCCATGTTACGTTTACTCTCGCAAAGTCATCTATATATGATTAGAAATGGGGCATTTAAAATTTAAGCCCATTCAAAACAGGAGTAGATGCATGGAGAAGAGTGATTCCGGACTACTTTGTAAACTGATCGTGCCTTTAATTTATGGATCACTTCAGCGTTCACTTTTTTACTTTCAGTGCCCTAGGATGAAAAGATTATCGGTTTCTTCGTTACTTTTCCTTCTTAATGTTAACTAGTCTTGTCTAACACAACAAACTTTAAATAGGTGCTCTCATGACTGCTGGAGTGCTCACAGCGGGTTTGATAAGTTTCAGACGAGGGAACTCTCAGTTGGGACAGATGCTAATGAGAGCTCGTGTGGTGGTCCAGGGTGCAACAGTTGCGCTTATGGTTGGCACTGCCTATTACTATGGAGGAAATCCCTGGAAATCACATTAAAACATGAAAAATTTAGTCTCTCTTACCTCATGATTTTTTTGTATCAATGAGGGGCTACTTCATTAATCTGAATCAGCTTTATGGCCACAATCAGTGTCATTTGTTAATGTAATAACATTCGGAATGTGGTGAATAAGCTGACTTGCAAAGTGAAATATTGATTCATAAATAACTTTTATGCAACTTCTTTTCCTACTATTCTTTCCCAACCCCCTGTGGATAACTGGATCCGTAAAGTACCTGTTCGGGTTCTCTTTGGTTTTTGGATCTGGAAATTATTTGGATTGAGTTTGTTCTTTTCTTTGTAAGCTGGGAAGAGTTGAAATCAGGTGAGAACATGAAAAAGAGTGTTTTTTTCCCTCTTTTGTGCAAAGATGAATCAGAAAGATGAAAGGGAAAAAAGGTACGGTTTGGATGAGTGGTATGGATAATCGTCTAACGAAACTTGATGACTTGTGGTGTTTCTTTTTATCTTCCTGTAGTGTTTCCTTCTTCTTCTTCTTGTCGGTTGAAGTCAATCATGCAGGAATTCAGAAGAAAGAACCCGGATGAGTTCTTGAGCTTCAAGCCATATTATAGTGAGTTTTCAGACAGTCTTTGCAAGTTAGACGCCCTTGCGAGAACATAGCCTATTTGATGTTCATTTACCCTCCTTTGTGTGTCGATATCAACGGAGTGCTCTGATTCTACAGAAGCTAGAGTGCGGGTTGGTGAGTTTGGCATTATGATTCTTCGGCTATATCCTAAGATACGTTGGTTTACAAGGCATTTTGAGAACAATGCGGAAAGTGAACTTGACATCAAGTAACCACGGGGCGGCATTATGTATGGGTTAGAATCATGCAATACTTTGCTTCTGTGCAGGGATTCATGAGTAGGAGGCCCTCTCTTTTGAAACTGGATCAGTTTGCACCTTGTGCCTGCTCATGTGTAAACCCCCTTCTGATCCGATCAATGATTTGGGTGCCGTATATGGCTTGAGTGCTTGTGAATTTTCAGGCCGCGAGTTGCCTAGGGCAATCGCATGGGTCGATAGCTCACGGAGATGATGGTGGCGGCACAAATCTATGCACGCGAGAGAGGGACGGGTGTCAGAATTCTGGGATTTGTGATGACAGATGCGTTGCCTATCGCCCTCTCGGAAGAACTTGTGGCCTTTAGATGGTGCGTGCTAGAGTTGCGAAAGCACCACGCGAATTGCCAATGGCCCCTTCATAACTCCAAGATGGCCATATCTCTCTCTCTCTCTATTTCTATTGAAGCAAGGTTCATAAGAAAGAACTGAGGAGGCATATTGTATATCCACATGAGCACGAAAGAGGAAGTGGAGACGCGATTGGCAAAAGCAAGTCATGTCATGACCAGCAGCAAGAAGATGCAGAGGCTTCAAGAGGGTGGTGGTGGTGGTCCCAGGTGCGGCCATGGATTGGGAGCAGAGAAGCCTCACCTCCACCACACAGCCCCATTTCATCAACCACCTGACATTGTAACTCCCATCTCTAACTCCAAGCCATTGTCATCTTGTATTTATGGGATCACCACACATCAATCCGAATCCCCCCATGCATCTCTCCTGTACATCAGCCGCGAAATCGCCCTTCGCTTGCTTCTTCCCAGCTTCTGGTGCTTTAGCTTTCTCATCACAAATATCATGATTATACACGATGACTTCCGACCGTGGAAAGCTGGAAACTAAAGAAAGGGCCTTGAGCTCTTGGTCATTACGTACCCGTGCATTGCCTTGGCAAAAAAATAAGATTTTACTTCTACGACCATTTTCTGTACACGTATGCTCTATTCGTACCAAACTCAAATTGCATCCCTTTTATTTTATATATATACAATGACCGATGGGACGACGAATCTTGTTTAGATTACAGTTGTAGAGCGCTCAGCTGTGAATTTCTAAACAGAATAAGGGCGCCCGTTGAATAATTATGATAAAATGCGAATTAGCTCGTAACTAAATCGAGACGAAAATGGAAAAAGGTAAGTGAAAAGAGTAACGAGCAAAATTAATATATATATATATATATATATATATATATATATATATATATATATATAATGGGGAGGTTCATAAAGCATTGATTCGTCCTTGTGCAAGAACAGGGGATCGCTGATTATGTCGACATGCAGGAACGCGCACCTCTCTCTTTCTCTCTGTGCCTCCCCCCAAAAAGGTTAGCTATAAATTCTCTCCTCTCACCTTCCTCGTCGAATTCTCTCTCTCTAATCTCTCTCCATTCTCTCTGAGTCGCATCTCTTCGTGCCTCTCGCCTCTCTCTCTCTCTCTCTCCCCGATCACTCCCACCCACCCACCCACCCACCCACCACTCTCAAGTGCTTCGATTCGAGTGCTTGCCGATTCATCTCGTAAGATCTCCATCTCCCATCTCCATCTCGTTCCCTTTCTCCGCTTATAGGATCGTCGTCGGACGGCGTTTGTGACGGGAATTCCGGGCGGGGGGGCGATCGATCCGGTCCTGCCTTGTCTCTTTTGGTTTTCGCCGCTGCTGCTGTTAATCTATCGTTCTCGGTGATGAATAGAGAGAGCTTGGTGCTGCGAATCGAGCGGCAGTGGCATTGTCGATGCCGAATCGTGCGCGCCAGCGCGCTCGCGCTTTGATGAGAGCAAACGTGTCCGGAAGTCGATAGTCGAGGATAACGTCCGCGGAAATTCTTAGTGCGTCCAGCTCAATCTAGGGGGTGGAAGGGTTCTTTTGACCACCAAATGACGGCTAAAATGGCGTTTTCGAAATCAATGTGTCGGCTGCAGGACTTTCTCGTATGTTGTTTCGAATTGATCGCGTCGGACGGAGTGACTGTCGAATCTGTCCACGGGGTGATAGCAAATGCTGTCATCAACCTGGGATCGGCTAATTGGGCAAGTTAGCACTGCCGCGCGGCGGCGCTTGAGATAATGACATGCTCGACGAACTATGGTCGCTTGATTGGAGAATATTGTTATGTTTGTGCCCTGTTTTGCATTTGCGTATGATTGGGCTTCTATAGTGCTTTCCTAGCTTACCACTTTGCAACTGTTGATGCTAACATCTCCAGTCCGACTATTGCAGGCTTCGAGTAATAAGGACTGAAAATGTCTTCTCCTAGTAAGAGGAGAGAGATGGATGTTATGAAGCTGTAAGTCCTTAGTCTGTACTACACATACTGACTGATGTGCTCTATCTTAATCTTTCGCTTCTTCTTTACATGGCATGGTACACGTGTTGCCATTTGGGTCTTAGAAATGAAAAGGCAATCCTGTTTTTGTTTTGCATCCTGATCCAACATGAATTGCATAAGTATGTCACGGAACGTGATATGAATAGAATGGAGGAGATGTTATCATCTGTACATCAACCGTTTGGTTCCTTGATATGATCTCTTTGATAAAAGTGGTGATATCATGTTTGCAAATGGTTTTACGTTTTTTGGGTTTTTGATCATGTTTATTGGGGGAAAAATTCACAACGAAAGTTTAGAAATTTCCAGCCTCTTCTTCTGAAGGTGCACTTGACTAGAAGTTGTTTGCATTTGCTAATTGGTTCCCATGGGATCTTACAGAAGTAAGCCCAGATAATTGAGTCTTTCATGAGATTGGGCAACCTTGAAAATGCAGTGAAGATCCGATACGATGACATTAATTAACAGTGGGGAAAAGAAAAAAGGTAAAAGTGGCATGTTGCCTCATTCTCAGAGAAATTGTTGTATTATCCTTCTTTGAGGAACTAGATATAACCCCAGGGCATGAACATGAGTTAGAGAGGACATAGCTATTACCATGTGATGGTAAACTTTAGAGGTGATGGTAAACTTTAGAGGCAATGGAAATATTTACAAACAAAATGATGAAGCTGTTGCACTAAAGTTACAGATATTATCAAATTCCATGTACGTCAGTATGTGGTTGTTGATGCGATTTTTTCATCTGAAGCATGGTTATGCATTATATGTATGGAAATTATTGTCAGTCATGACTGTAAGCTGTTTGCTTAGATTATGTTTTTGTCAATCCTAGGATTGGCTCAATCTAATTGAATAAAAAGGTACTAGGTCTATGCACTGCAATCGATGATATTCAATTGTCTTTCTGGCTCCTCAAAAGTTTGTTTGTAGGCACCACATAGCTATCTGGTGGATTAGTTTTCTAGGGTACATCTGTACTCGGTGCAGTTAACAATGCCTTTTGATATTCTTTTGCTTCATGTTTATGTTATCCAGGATGATGAGTGATTATACTGTGGAGACAATCAACGACGGACTTAATGAATTCAATGTGGAATTTCATGGGCCAAAAGAAAGTACTGTCTCTCTTCCCTCTCTCCCTCCATCACCCCCCCCCCCCTCTCGTTCTCTCTCTCTCTCTCTCTCTGAGGTGAAAATATGATTAATTCTAATATATCGAAGCATGTTAGGATGCAGAAAGAACTGTTCTGCTTAGGAAAATAGCTAAAAGAATCAATCAGCATATAATCGTAGCATAACGTTGCATATTCTGCAGCTCAATAAACTGATAAAAATTCTTGTGCCACGGGCCCGAGGTCTTTTGAACCGCTAACTTTACAGGGTAACACTTTAAGTCTTAATGTTAGTGCAGAGGTGCAATTTTAACAAAGTCAGTAAAAAAATGATTGTTCAGCTTTTTCTCCCTAGCATAGTGACAATTAGACGAAAAAGTCTCTTGCCTTTAGACTAACTTCTCTGCCATACTGGGAATAATTTCTGGCATACTTCTGATGATACATGGATGAGATGCGGCTGGATGATTTATTCATACCAACGCTGTGGTGCATGACTTCTCCTCAAAAGATGCTTACTTTTCCATATGTCCTCGCTCCCTCCCCCTTCTCTCTCTGTGTGGAGAAGTAAGGGAAAAAAATGCGGGCAGGGGGGTTGGGTCTCTTCATATGATTTTCGAGTTATTCACGAATGTTTATGTTTCATTGCTGTAGCTAATTAAGGAAGTTATCATATATTAGAGTAGTTACCCAAAACTTCAAAGAGCTGCCTTTGAGGAATTCGACTAGTTCTCGGAATTCTGTTGTTCAGCAAGCTTTACTTAATAAAATGATTCCAGGTCTATACGAAGGTGGTGTTTGGAAGATCCGAGTGGAACTTCCTGATGCGTATCCCTACAAGTCTCCTTCCATTGGATTTGTGAACAAGATATATCACCCAAATGTTGATGAGATGTGAGTAATTTTATACCTGTTAAAGGGAACATCTATGTTCTTGTACTACTTGTGTCTTGAATGGTTCGACTACTTTAAGTGAGTGAGTGCCACAGTTGATAATGAATGACTGACATTTTCGTTATACCAATGTAGACTGCAGTATAGTTTATGACGTGACTATTTCATGTTGGTTGAAATTGCAGGTCGGGGTCTGTATGCCTGGACGTTATCAACCAATCATGGAGTCCAATGTTTGGTTAGTACAGAGCGATACTATGATTTTCTGCTTTAAGATCGTTCCTCTTCTTTGCATCTTTTATTACTCCTTTTTGTTATGCTCATCCAGTTTCTTTCATCTCCACATGTCCTTCAATTGGCCATAATGTGCACGAAGTCAGTATATGCGCATTTTTTTACTTTCTGCGTCTTGGTTTGTTGCCTTGCATTGGGTTTAAACATGATCCCTTCTATTCTGCTATTGTAGATCTTTTGAACGTATTTGAGGTGTTTCTTCCTCAACTCTTGCTTTATCCCAACCCTTCAGACCCTCTTAACGGTGATGCTGCTTCACTAATGATGAAAGACAAGAAGCAATACGATCAAAAAGTAAAAGGTGACTTTCGTCTGCCCTTTTTACTTTTACGGCGTTGAAATGCGATGAATTGAGTTCTAGATCGAGAGACATGCTTCTGAAAATGCTCTATAGAGCTGAAGTATCTCGAGACTTGCGCTGTTTAGATAATTTGCATTCCAAAATTTTAGTTAGCTTTTCATAGTATTTACTGGCAGTGCATTATTCATTGTATTTTTTCGTTGCGGATATAGAGTATTGTGAGCGATATGCAAAGAAGGAACATATCAGCAACTCCAGAGCAGAAGAAGACAGCGACGATGAGGAAATCAGCGTCGAGGGAAGCGAATCGAGTGACGACGAGATAGCTGGACATGCAGACCCATAAATAAGTGTAGGATCAATAACTATTCAAATTATTCCATAATTGAAGGCGCAACCCCCATTCTTCATGTCCACCTGTCCAAATTATATTTAATTCAGAGTTGTATGCTTGTAATATCATGAGACTGGCCATTGTTGTGAGGAAGCCCAGAAGAACTTTGTAGTGAACATTTTCATTGGAAGATAAATGGGATTGTCACTCAAGGTGGAGCAATTCTTTCACTTGATATTGAATTTCTGGTTCATAAAAGTTTTGGCTAAGATCGGTAAAAGCAGAGGACTAGATAAACATGCCCTGAGAATGTAGGCTTGCATGTCTACCGATCGCAATACATGTTGCGGAATAGTGCATACTCCTCATCGGCAGGAATGCACGAGGGTCCCGCTCTTTGCTGAGCGGGCGGGGTTCGGGGGCTGTCCCCGGGGGTCGCGGGGTTTTATAGTTCGAGCCCGAAGTTTCGGCTTGGGTCCATAAATAGATGTTGCATATATATAATGTCTTTATCTTATAATTGAAAGTTGCAACAGAAATAATGAAAGTCTTTGCTGGATTTAGCCTTAGTTTAAAGGTGAATTATGATAAATCTTTTGTTTCGATTTCACTTTCTTGCATTTACTTTCTATTTGTTGTGTTTATGCGCCTAATTAAAACAATATACATCGAATTTTCAGATCTTGTATGCACGGTCCATCAGATTACCAATACTTTTCACCGTGGCTTCTCTGTCAGTCACTTCTCTCTCACGGTGGACACAAGTTTCTTACATCGGTACGCGGATTCTCTCCGACCTGTCTTTAACTTTTATGAATTTTGAAGAGGCTTCGGTACCAAAAATTTACCACATGGAAGACTTATTCGTCGCATGAGGTTTCTCAGTGTCCCCCTTCAGACAGATTCGATAGGAATAACTGAACCCAACTTACTATGCTTTTTCTTATTATTTACCAGGAATTTTCCTTATCGTTGTTGCCCCAGTCCTGTACGGTTACGCCATTCACAGGTCTCCAAATTGTGCCATAGTAACAGTGGATGGTTAAATTAATGCCCCATTTGGACCTTTAAAGACCAGTTATTGCGCAGAGGACAACTGATAAAAGGACATTTGGCCGTTTACTCCTGACCTCTTCAAATTGCCGGCATCCAATTTTTAAAGAAGAGAGGAGGACACAACGGCTTGTTGAGCTTTTTGGCTCATTACGAAGCACTTAGTGACAATCCCGGCCACAATGTCTTCAGAACTATTGCCATTGTAAGTTCAGCCAATTGTCATTCACAGCTGATTCAAACACACATCATCACCAACCTTCTTACCACCCAAGATCACACTACCTTCATTGTATTATAAACATAGCTCAAGCAATTATTAGGTCCATTGGTTTCTCCTAGTCTCACCTCGATTCCCCGAAAATGCATCGAGCGCCTGTCCGGGTGCTCACCATTCTGATGTTTCTCGTCTTTCCAGTGGCGAATTCGGTTGATGAGGGTACCAAGCAGTCGATGATTCAGTTCATGGACAAAGTTTCTCCTGGGAGTGATCAAGGTTGGAGCTTGTCCACGGATCCCTGCACCGATAATTGGAAGGGCGTGGCATGTGAGTCACAGTCGGTGAAGAGGATTGTTCTCGAGGGGCTCAACTTCTCGGGGACTCTCGATGCCAGTCCTCTCTGCAGGGTACAGTCTCTCGCTGTTCTTAGCCTCAAGGGCAACAATGTGGTGGGAGGGATTCCGGAAGAGATTGCTAACTGCAAGCATTTGACACACTTGTACTTAGGCGGGAACCGGTTCTCGGGACAACTCCCCGACGCCATCTCGAAATTAAATAACTTGAAAAGGCTTGACGTATCTGATAACAACTTCACCGGTCCATTGCCGAATCTTGTTCGGATCTCGGGCATGATTACCTTCTTTGCTCAGGACAACAATTTCACTGGAGAACTGCCCCAGTTCGACTTTGCCAACTTCGACCACTTTAATGTCTCGAACAACAATTTCACTGGTCAGATTCCTGATGGCGGAGGCCGTTTCCAGGAGAACAGCTTTCTGGGGAATCCGGGATTGTGCGGAAGTCCGCTGCCGAATTCATGTCCGCCCCCTCAACCAGCCAAGAAGAAACATAAAGACGTATCGCTTGAGAAGATTCTTATCTATTTGGGCTATATAATTCTTGGCCTGATCGTTGTGCTCTTCTTGGTCTACAAAATAGCAAGAAGATCCAACAAAAAAGCAGATGGGGGGGTTGATGGTGGTAAGGATAGGAGATCTGGTACTAGCAGCAGCAAGGCTATTGGGGCGTCGAGTGAACCAAAGACTAGCGAGAACAGGTCGGAGTACTCGATAACTTCAGTGGAGAGTGGAATGACCACGTCGTCACTTGTGGTACTATCGAATGCTCCTGCGCTGAAGGATTTGAAGTTCGAGGACTTGCTTAGAGCGCCGGCCGAACTGCTTGGAAGAGGAAAGCATGGAAGTCTTTACAAAGTTGTGCTCAGCAACGGCCTTGTTCTGGCCACGAAGAGAATCAAGGATTGGGGGATATCTGGCGAGGACTTCAAGAACAGGATGCAGAAGATGGATCGAGCAAAGCATCCTAATGTTCTGCCGCCTGTCGCGTTTTATTGCTCCAAGCAAGAGAAGCTCCTGGTGTATGAATATCAACCAAACGGAAGTCTCTTCAATCTTCTCCATGGTAAGTGGGTAGTTATACTGATTACTTCAAGTTTCCAGTTTCTATAGATATGCTTCCCTAAAGGGTTTATGTTGTCGCGACATAGGACAATAAAAGCAGCAATACACGACAACGAAAAAGCAATCTCTAAATTTAGTTTTCCTAGACCGAATTGAATGGAAGTCTGAATGGGACAATGTCTTGTTCTTGCCCCTTATTTGGGATGCCACAAATGTAAAAGACATGTCATCCCATCTCTTCTGATCAAGAAGCTGAAGTTATTTGGTATACATTTTACTCTCTTGAAGTGATGATGGACTGGAGAGGAGAAGCTTGATCCAAGTTCTTGTGCATCATTTCCATCGCAGGAATGCAGGATGTGCAAATATTTGATTGGGGAAGCAGGCTAAGCGTCGCAGCCACGATAGCCAAAGCTTTGGCCTTTATGCACTCAGAGCTTCGTGAAGACGTGATAGCTCACGGCAATCTAAAGACTACAAACATCTTGCTCGACAAAGACATGGATCCGTGCATCAGCGAATATGGCCTAATGGTGGTGGAAAGCTACTCTCAAATTTCCGAGATAAGAAGCGATTCTGCTTCTCCGCACGACGCCTTCAAGGACGACGTATACGGCCTCGGGCTAATGCTTCTCGAGCTCCTGACAGGCAAGATGGTCCAGAACAACGGGCACGATCTGGCCAAGTGGGTGCACTCCGTGGTCAGAGAGGAATGGACCGGGGAAGTCTTCGACAGCGTCCTGATATCCGAAGGCGCGGACGAGGAAAGGATGGTGAGACTGCTGCAAGTAGCTCTCCAGTGCATAAACCCTTCTCCCGCCGAAAGGCCGAGCTCGAGCCAAGCCGCGGCGCTGATAGGCTCGATCAAAGACGAAGAGGAGCGATCCGTGTCGTCGGATTCCTGATGGAAAAACTTGCTCTTCTGGGAAGGGGAATGTGAACAGTGAGAGCTTTTGCCAGAGCAAAATTTGTTCTATGGTTTGGTCGTTTTGGTCCAGTCAATTTGACGCAGTAAGTTTCTGAACAGTGAACAGCAGACTACTTATTTGTTATTTGTATGTATGGAGAAATAATTCTTTGCTTCAACGGTACGATTGAATAATTCGATTACTTTTCCAGGAGGATTATGCACAGAAAATGCGTCTATTATTCACATGACTTCCACACAAAACTCTTTTTTTTTTTCAGGAAAGTACTATAAAAATCCAAAATTATATCCGCACTGCCACATCGATATCATTAATTTTTTTGTTGTCATTAAAACTCCAAACTTGTACCGATGTGATAAGCATGTCCTCTCTTTAACACAGAAAATCCTAAGTTGTTTTGCTCGCGTCGATACTAAGGCTTCATTTATTTTGCGGAAAATGAATGATTTGAAAAATATTTTCATAAGAATGATCATTTGAAATAATTAGTTTATAAAAAATATTTTCATTATTGACAACAATTTATGTCAAAATATTTTCGTAGATAATTAAAAATACTTTCGTTCATTTATTTTTGCGAGTTATATAGAGGATCATTTTTTGAAAAATATTTTTCAAATCATTCATTTTCTGTAAAACAAACAGAGCCTGACGTTTCAAACTTTTTTCATGTAACGGATACCCTAAGCTTGTACCATTGTGATGAGAATATAGGATTTTTTATCACATTGGTACGAGTTTGAGAGCCTTGGCACTAAAAAAGTTTTTGGGCATCATAGTTAGTACAATTCAATATAATTTTTTGTGATATTGAAATTATTTTTTTTATATACGTGGCGCTATTCTCCATGCTAGACTTAATTTAATCTTAATTTCACGAGCGGCGAGTTTCTAGAATAGTAGGTGCTTTTTGGAATGCTCATAATATTTAATACAGTACTTTCTTTTTCTTTTTTTTATCGTGATTCTCACTTTAGACTTTTGTTTTTGTCTCCTTTTGTGTCATATATCAGCGTAGGAGCTTCTTTAAATTGATTTACGATAATAATACTGAATACCTTTTCAATTATTTAATTTTCACAATAATAATAAAAATATCGAGATAATAGCCATACCTGATCAGTCTTTCCTAATTGATGTCGGGCAATCAAATCAACGGTGCAAAAAAAAAAACGAAAGAATAAAAAGAAAAAGCAAAAACGAATAAGATAGACGCAGTGCGTACGAATAGAGCAAAGAAAAAGGGAATAATGACACCGATAGTTATCAAACTTTGATCTAAAATGCAATTCGATCCATGAACTTTAATTTGTTCAATGCACTTTCTAAATTGTAGCCTAATAATTGATATTGTCGCTGAACTTTTAATTTATTCAATATGATCTACGGATTTTTGATACATATTTAATGTTGTCTTTGAACTATATAATAAAGTTCAATGTAATCCTTAAACTTAAATTAATAGAATGACTATAAAATATTCAGGGATGATATTGAATAAAGGGAAAATACCACAAAAGACTACAAATTATGCCACTTGTGATAAATTTACCCTTAACTTTTTTATTGACACGAAAAACCTCAAATTATGCTACTTGTGACACATTTACCCCATAATACTTTAGCCCATGAGCGATGCCTTGCCCAACCCAACGCTAGCAAGGGCCGCCCTCGCCGACTTCCCTCCATCATGGCCAGCGGAGGGAAGAGAGAAGAAAAGAAAAAAAAAAGAAAAGAAAAAAGAAAAAGTAAAAAGACGAAAATGCCTATATGCTAAAGTATTGTGAGGTAAATGTGTCATAAGTGGCGTAGTTTAGAATTTTTCGTGTAAAAAAAAAGTTCAGGGTAAATTTATCACAAATAATATAGTTTGAGATTTTTCGTGTCACAAAAAAAGTTCAGAATAAATTTGTCATAAATAATATAATTTAGAATTTTTTATAGTATTTTTTCTCAAATAAATTAAAAGTTATCATGTTTAACAAATTAAAAGTTAGGAAACCAAAATTCAATTCCTGTTTGTGTCGTCTTCCCAAGAAATTAAAGACCGGTTGACCCTGTCGTCTTCCTCGCGACGCTCCGAGAGTAGGAGCGAGAGCAGAAACCAGTCTCGCGCTCTCTCGGTGCATGCAACAATGGTGGGTCTCGCGGTGGAGAGGCCCACCCTGCGGGTCGCCAACATCCCGCTGACCGTCACGGCCCACGACCTCCTCCGCTTCCTCGAGTCCGCCCTCGGCCCGGGCTCCGTCTACGCCATCGACATCTTCACCGACCGCAAGAACTGGAAGCCCCGCGGGTTCGGCCGCGTCCAGTTCGCCTCCCTCCGCCACCGGGACCTCGCCCGTTCCCTCTCTGACCGCCTCGTGCTCAGGTCCCAAACCCTAGCGCTCTCCGACGCCTTCGATGACATCGTCCCGAGGCCCGTCCACGAGTGGCACCGCGTCGAGGGCGGGGGCCTCCACGCCGGGTTCATGGTGGAAGGGGACTGCCTCTGCGAGCTGGAGTGCTGGAGGAGGCTCAAGGTTTGGTTTATGCCCGAGAGGAGGAGGGTTGAGTTCTGGGTCTGGGTCGAGGAGGAGTGTTATAAGCTCGAGGTTGGGTTTGATGATGTGGTGGAGAGTGTCGGGTGTTGCTTGGGCGGCAGGGGCAGCGGCGACGGCGACGGCGACGGCGACAAAAGAGTCAATGCACTTCTCTTGACGGTATATGCTTTACATCTCTTTTGTGGTGTTTTGGGAGTTAACTCATTGATGTGGTGGAATTTCTTTGGAATCAAAGAAGGGTTTATTTATTTGTGGGTGTTTACCATGCTTTTTCCATTGATCTGGCGAACTGATGGCTTGTTGGTCTTGTGGTTGGTTATAATTATAATAGCTAGTTCTTGAACCCGTGTTGCCATGGAAAGTATAATGTCACTTAAATTTTGAGCGCAATTTCTTGGTTTGGCATTGTTCAGGCAGTCTAATCCAATGTTAATCCGAGTAAAGGAAGGTGGCCTGATGTTTCTGAACCTTTCCAGAACAAGGAAAATCTCGCCAAATTTACCATCATATAAACTAAAAGACTTTCACATGCCGTATGTTGTTAATATTGTGATCGAGAACGAATAAGGTTTTGATAATCTACCGCAATCCTCGGCAAAAAAAAAAAAATTAATCTGGAGAATTTCTAGTTTTCAACGAGCTTACTCTTTTCGTAAACGAGTGTGTATTGGAATCAAACTCTTCTAGAAAATTTAACTTCAGTTATTAACAGTACATATCTAGGCGAGTGAAGACTTGATTCTAAGCACTCCAATTTTTCCCTTGCTTGTGCACGCCCACAATTTCATTTACCGATTATGCTCCGTGTATGACTTCACCTTTTGGAAGGATAATCGTGAAATAGTTTTATAAATGTTGTTTGAGCTCAAATTACAATAGATTTAGACAGGCTACGAGGTCTATGAATGAAGTTTGTTTATGAAACGGTATCCATAGTTGACTGGCTTTACTTAATACAGGGAAATGTTTATGCTTTTGGCAAATCATAAATTTTATAGAAACAGTCTAATGTAGGTTAGGTAGCGATTCTAGATGATCCCGGCAATTTCTGAACAATTGATTGTGTAAACATGATTTGCATTATGCATTCGCCTCCAAGTTTCTGCCTCAATATTCATCTCTTTGACTTAGATTGGTTCGGATCAATGCTGGAAGGTGACGGATCACTGTGGTAGACAAACATTTTTCGGAAATATATCTTGAAACACTGCATGCATCTATATCTAATTTATAGGTGCTAGATAATTATGTTAGTCCATATGTTTAATTAATTTATCAGGAAAATCATATGCATCAAATGCTCCGTTTGTTTCGGGAAAAATGATTGATTTGGAAAATATTTTCCTAAAAATGATCACTTGTACTGCTTGAAATAATTAGCCAATGAAAAATGTTTTCATTATTGATAATAATTTATGTTTGAACATTTTCATAGATGGTAAGAGTATTTTTCGTTCAGTCATTTTTGTAAGCATTATAAGTGATCACTTTCTGGAAAATATTTTCCAAATCATTCATTTTCCACGAAACAAACGGAGCCAAAGCGTATCTATCCCACTATACTACGGGGAGTATACCCTATTTTTCTTTTCAGTTGATTCCACTCAGATCGAGTTCTGCATTTCTTTGTTGGTCTATACCCCGTTAGTTCGTTTTGAGAAAATGGTCATTGTCACAGGATAGTGGTCCATTATTATGGTGCTTGAACGTTGTTTTCTCCTATCACAGGTTAAACACGGGCCAAGGATCTACAAGAGAATTTCCGGATCTGATGTAACCTCGAAGTTTAGTCCTGATCGATACCATATCTACAAAGAAGATTTCAATTTTCTTTGGGTCCGCACAACAGACTTTTCTCATGTGAAGGCAGTCAGTCAATCAACTACTTTCTGTTGGGAAGTTGATGAAGGGCTACAGGTACCAGCTGCAGATGTATTTGCAAGTTTTCCGTATTATAAAGAAGGAGCAATTGATCTTACTCTAGGAGAAGGGGAGGAATTTCATTCTGCATCTGAGATAGTTCCACTCCTGGAGTGTAACCATGGTCCTAGGTTAGACTACGAGATCGTATTCCAACTTAATGCTCTTGTTCATACCCAGAAAATAAGTCTGGCTGCTGCGTATGAGCTAACAGACATCCTTAGCACTTTGGATGTTGACACTGCTGTCTCGGTTCTCCAGAAGCTGCACAAGCTTACATCCACTTGTTATGATCCCGTGCCATTTGTGAAGACCCAGTTACATGTCCTTAAGAGAGACAGCAAAAATCTTCCTTCGTCCGCTCTCAGTAGGTTAAGAGACAGTAATCTAATGTTTTGTCACAGAGCTTTTATTACTCCAACAAAGATTTATTGCTTAGGTCCTGAGCTGGAGACCTCTAACTACGTGGTGAAGAACTTCGCATCACATTCTTCTGATTTTCTAAGAGTTTCTTTCGTCGAAGAAGATTGGAGCAAAATTCCCCCGAATGCCTTATCTACCAGTACTCAGCAAGGCATTTTTTCAAAACCTCTGAGGACTGGAATATATCACCGTATATTGACTGTTCTTCGTGAAGGTATTGTGATTGGCGAGAAGAAGTTTCAGTTTCTTGCTTTCTCAGCTAGTCAACTTCGGTCAAACTCCGTCTGGATGTTTGCTTCCAACGACGAGGTGACTGCAGAACAGATCAGAGAATGGATGGGCTGCTTCAAAGATATTAAAAGCGTGTCCAAGTGTGCAGCGAGGATGGGTCAAATGTTTAGCTCTTCTGTACAGACTATAGTTGTCCCTAGACAAGATGTGGAGATCATTCCTGATATTGAGGTCAACACCAGAGGATTTGACTACTGTTTCTCAGATGGGATTGGAAAGATATCTCAATCGTTTGCTAGGCAAGTTGCTCAGAAGTGTGGCTTGACTGACAGTCCTTCAGCCTTTCAAATCCGATATGGTGGCTATAAAGGTGTTATTGCTGTTGACCGCCGTTCCTTCCGTAAGCTCTCTCTTCGTGAGAGCATGTGTAAGTTTGAGTCATTTAACAGGATGCTTAATGTTACAAAGTGGAGCGACTCGATGCCGTGCTATCTTAACAGGGAGATCATTTCTCTTCTTTCCACTCTTGGAGTGGAAGATGAAAAATTTGAGGCTATGCAACAGAAACAGTTGCTTATTCTCGGGAAAATGCTAACTGACAGGGAGGCTGCTTTAAGTGTGTTGGAGAGTTTGAGCGGTGCAGACCGCAGAAACATTATAACGAAAATGTTACTCGCGGGATATGAACCAACTGCGGATCCTTACCTTCTGATGATGCTTCGAGCGCATCACGAGATTCAGCTGTCTGAATTGAAGAGCAGGTGTCGCATTCATGTTCCAAAGGGTCGGATCTTGCTTGGCTGTTTGGACGAGGCCGGAATACTCGACTATGGCCAAGTTTTTGTCCGAGTTACCATGACAAAAGCAGAGCTAGAAAGTGGGGAGCAAAGATTTTTCCGGAAGGTCGATGAGACAACAGCAGCAGTAATAGGGAAGGTAGTTGTCACCAAAAACCCTTGTCTTCACCCTGGGGATATCAGAGTCCTCGAGGCTGTTTTTGAGGTGGAATTAGAAGAAACGGGGTTGGTCGATTGCATTGTCTTTCCTCGGAAAGGAGAAAGGTCTGAGTCGCTGCATATCTATGTTATACTCTTCTGCTTAGATAATTGTAATTTTGCTCACCGTGCATGTTTATATATGGGCTTATAACGTATTTTGACAGGCCTCATCCTAATGAGTGCTCTGGTGGTGATCTGGATGGAGACCTGTTCTTTATCAGTTGGGATGAAGATATCATCCCGTTGCGAACTGATGCTCCGATGGATTATACCGGGAGGAGACCACGCATAATGGATCACGAAGTGACACCGGAGGTGAGTATCTCAGACTTTGTTTTATCATAGGGTTGTAGTATCCTTTCTTTAACATTGCGAAATATTCTTCAGGAAATTCATAAATTCTTTGTCGACTACATGATCAACGACACGCTGGGTGCCATCTCAACTGCACATTTGGTTCATGCGGACCGTGAACCAGAAAAGGCCCGGAGTGAAAAGTGTCTACAGTTGGCGACTCTCCACTCTATGGCTGTGGACTTTGCAAAGACTGGCGCACCGGCTGAGATGCCGAGGGTTTTGAAGCCAAGAGAATTTCCAGATTTTATGGAGAGAGTAGACAAACCAAGGTACACATCTAGTGGCGTGCTTGGAAAGCTCTATCGAGCGACGCTCGAGTCATCACTAGAGAAGTCGAAAGTCGTCTGGTCGAAGGATATCGCTCGAGAGTACTATGATCATGATCTGGAAGTCGACGGTTATGAGGCATCCGTCGACATGGCAGTCACTCACAGGAACAAGTACATAGAGAAACTGAGCGAGCTGATGCATTTCTACGGGGCGAAGAGCGAGGATGAAATCTTGACCGGCAATCTGCGGAACCGCGCCATATATCTGCAGAGGGACAACAGGAAATACGGAGATATGAAGGACCGGATCTCGCTGTCGGTGAAGGCCCTGCACAACGAGGCCAAAGGATGGTTCGAGAGCGGGTGCGAGGCGAACGAGAGGGAGCGCCTGGCCTCTGCCTGGTATCACGTGGCTTACCATCCATCTTTCGTTCACCAAAGCTTCAATTTCCTGAGCTTCCCGTGGATCGTGGGGGATGTTTTGCTCAGCATAAGATCAGTGAACAGGAAGAAATCCCTCCTCACTTAGCATTTGCTGCGTGTATCAGAGTTACCATTCACTTGCCTGATTGTTATGGTCAAGGGATCGTTCGTTTCCCGTATATAATCCGGAATGAAACGCCGTATCTTGTTCATACTTATTATGCTTATGCCATCGCATGGATGCGATTAGAATTCAATCTTGGTAAGTTTTGAGTTGTTAGGACTGATTGGGTCGCCAATTCGTCGGCTAGATGAACCAAATGGGGAAAAAGGGAAATAAAAATAAATAGAGTATGTGCTCCTCCATTTCAGTCCCACACAACTAAGAATTTTTTATATGATTTTTTCTCAAAATATTTTAAAAAAAAATACCCCTCTTTGCTCAAGACAAGAAGGAACGATTAAGTAAATCGTGCACGGAATTGTTTCCAATCGAATGCCACGGATGACGCAACTTCACTCCTTCGTGCAATCTGCCATTTACACACTTATCCGTACGTTGTAAACAAAAACGACAACACTGACCCACTCAAAACGACGATGACTTTACAATCCCACAAAAGGTATATAAATTATAAATATTAAAAAAAAATTATAAATATCAAGCCGCCACGTGACGTCATAGAGTCCAACTCCCCACGACGGCGAGTCGTGGGGAGTTGGACTCTGATCATGCGACCGCCACCGCCATCGCGTCCTTACCCTTCCCGGCCACATCCTCCTCCGCCGCCGAGTGCCCGCCGCCGGGGACCGACGCGTGCCGGACGGAGAAGCTCCGGTACCGGCGGAAGTAGTCCTCGTCGTCGAGATGGGGGTCGTGCCCCGGCCCCTCGTCGAAGTTGAGGGCGTAGCTCATGGGGTCGTAGTTGAACCTGCCGGGCCTGCTCTGGTCGTGCGCCCCTCCCCCCGCGCCGGCCGCCGAGCCGATGCTCCGGCTCCGGCTGAACCGCCGGATGAAGGTCTTCCACCTCGGGCCCGCGACGACCTCCGACAACTCCCGGAGCTTCTTCAGGACCCTGACCCCCGGGGCCCACCACCGGCGGTCAAAGTGCGAGGACCCGATCCGCTCCCAGAAGCTGGACGAGGAGAAGGGCCGGGGGGCGCGGCGCGGGCGGCGGAGGCCGAAGCAGTGGCTGCAGCAGAGGGAGAGGGAGAAGGAGGCGGCGGCGGGGGCGGGGGCGGGGCGCGGGGACGACCCGTCTTCGATGATCATCGGATCCGCTTCCTTGTTGCGCCGCGACGAAGCGGGCGATTCCAACTCCTCCACTTCCATGGCTTAGCTCTCTCTCTCTCTCTCTCTCTCCGGTAGGTGAGACGTGAGAGCTCTGATCTGTACTGCTTTTTGGGTGAGGTTTGAGAGACGAAAGGTTGCGTCTTTGTGGCTCAACTGAAAACAGGGGATGGAATGATATTTCACCCGAGGTGAGTGATGAGGAGTGCATGGTGGAGGGCGACTCGGTAATTTCGCAAGCGAGTGTCGGAGGATATGCTTACGAAGACCGAAACTGGGGGATCAGGATCTGCTGCGCCGCGACACATCGTAGTGATCTGCGGCGGTTCGAGCTCAATACGAAGTTTCACTATTGAAAAGAGGAAAGAGACGCTATCTCTATCGGGGATAAGCGTGGTTTTAGGGTAATAATTGGACCGGTGAGAATACTAAGGATGGATTCCAGATTTTAGATAGGTAAAATCTCGAATTTGGGACTTGAAATAAATTTTTATGTTTTACTTGATTTATATTTTCGCATGATCTCTATTTTGTCCAATGATGAGTGTATTGATTTATATTTTCGCATGATCTCTATTTTGTCCAATGATGAGTGTACGATATGGAAATATTAGCCCGAACTTCCATTTTATGATCGAGACTTTAACTTTATTGGTGTTTCGTATTCTTCATTCTGTTCAGTGAATTGTAGAAGCAAGTGATGATCATTGAATGTAATATTGTTCAATTAATAATACAGATCGAACTGAATAGACTCTTGAAGCAATCCTGAAACCTGTGATAGAGCAGTTTTTAGTTTCGAGATATACATGATAAGTTCTAGTAGACTTTGAAGCTGATCTTGAAATCTTTGACAGAGTAATTTTCAGTTTGGAGATATACACGATAAGTTCCAGTAGAATACCGCGCACCCTCGCTCTTGGTCTAAGTCAACTCAAGCCATCGGCACCCACAGGAATTTCGAAGACTGGGGAAGAAGCCAAATCTTGACGCACAAAAAAATCCCGCAATACCCTCTCGTTCCATTCTCTCTCTCTCTCTCTCTCTCTCTCTCTTTCTATGTTTGGGTGAGAATGCCTGGCCCAGGGCCTCACCTGATGTACGCCATGGGCTCCGGGATCGCCCTCACGTCCCTCTCCGGCGGCAGGTTCGCTCCCCACCACACCCTCGCCTACACCCTCAACGCCTTCTTCGGCCCCGACATCGGCTCCTTCTCCGAGTGGCTGGGCTCCACCCTCTCCGTCCTCCCGGGCTTCGGCCCCGCCGGATCCCTCGGCTCCCTCCTCGCCGACGCCGTCCACGACCCGTTCTACTACGTCCTCATCCTGGGCTTGCCTCTCTCGGTCCTCTATTCTTGGGTCTCCAAGGTCTTGCTCCGAAAGGGCCTCCTTGATTCTGTTTCCGGGGTGAGTTTCTATTTTTTGTCCCGAGTGTTTCTTGATTGCTCGGTTCCTTGAGAAGAGTGGTGAAGGGAGATGGGTTGTTTGATTCGTTGAGGAATTTTGTGTAATTTCATTGGGTTTGTTTGGGGGGCGTAATTTGGGCAAACAGGGGAAGAGCCAGTTTCATATTGGTTATGAAGATCATGATGAGTCGAGTTTAGTCATATCAAGGTTGCAAAGTCAGTGGCCTCATAGAGTTTTGATCTCGTTAAGCGCCGAGGTGGCTTTGTGAGTCCAACTATAGTGTAGTGCTGTTCAGTGATCAGTCAGTCTCTGTCCGGTTTTCTCGGCATGATTGCGCCCTCATGTCCTCGACTTGGTATGATTTCGTGCAGGTCCCCCTTACTAGAAGGCAATGTCTGCTGTTGGTAGCTGCCGGTTCTTTATCCCATTTTTTCCTAGACCATTTGTTCGAGGTATTAATTTCGCCCCTGAGGTGTTATTGAGTATGTTATAGCAAATACAACATCCTCTTCATACATCCTCCTTTGTGGAGATGGCGGTGGAGTTATATGAAAAACTTCAAGCTGCTTTACCATGTAATTTGTACGATATGATGCTTACAGGATCTTAGAACTAGGTCGTGTTTTGGCCCTTCTCATTGATGTTGCTGAAGCTAATTGGTTTTCTTCAAATGTTGCCGACCATGTAAATGTGAATGAGTTTTAAGGTTTCATTCTGCACAAGATATGGTGAATGCCGTGTCGACCATTTCAAACATTAGTTTTGCTAGCACTTTTATATGTACTAACATGCATGCATGCATGCAGACATACATATCCAATCTTTCCGTTTTTAGTATCAGCTGCATGATGAAGACTCGGTTTGAAAGAAGAATGAGATACTTCTTGGAAAATGAGAGAAGCGTTTTCACTAGTTTGCTTGCATTTTGCACTTATTCATTGGTGAAGGTGGATTTCAAATCATGAAAGTTTTTATATCATAAATTGAAATGTTCATTGTTGACTGTGTGTTCCTCTAGATGCTGGACTCTTACTTTAATATCCAGCCCTGTAGTAAATCAGGGGGTAACATTTCTCCACTTTGCAGGAAAATGGCCATTCATCTATGTATACTTGGATATTGAGCACTGGTTGGTGGAAAAACCGAGCACCTGTCAACCCTGATGCTGTTGTTGTAGTCGGTTTCTTATGCATTTGCTTAATTTGTGGTTTTATTTACATCAACAGGTTCTATCCCCACCAAGATCCATTTGACTAAGTTTTCTTGTAGCATCATTATGGACACTTATTGGTTCTTGTTGCTTAAATGCGATTGTTTTGCAGATCGAAGTCCTTTAAGTCCATTAGGAAGAGATCCTATCAATCTCTGACACTTATTGGGATTATCGGAAGCCTGTACTGTGTGTGGTGTGCGAGCCAGATATACTGGGTTAATCCTCGTCGGGCAGCAGTGGGGGAAGAAGCTGACCTTGGTATTCTTGTATTTATGGCTACTTATTTCTTTCTTCCTCATGGTCTGTGTATACTCTCCATGAATCCAAAAGATAATGAAACAGAGCTTCCACTTTAAAGAACATTGTGCATCTGGCTGGTAAGTTTTATGTGCAATTTTACGCAAAAGCTACAATGTTATTGGAGTTTTTACTTGAGACCATTAATACTAATTAAATGTTGTGAGACAAATGGCAAAACTTGTCTGTGATCTCAGTAGAATGGTAATTTTCTGAAAATTTATAGATTAATTCGATAAATTCTATATGATGGAGAACTGTAGGGTTGGTGTTTATCTCCATTGTTGTGTTCTATGGTTCTCTTGAACTTTGTGTCCCTGTCATACCAGCTCTTCTGTAGTTGCATTTCATTGCTGAATAGTCAGGAATTAGTCTCTGTTAAATTGGCTGGTAAAATCGACCTAAAGATTTATTTATTCCTCTCTCTCTCTCTCTCTCACACACACGCACGCACGCGCACACGCACACGCACGCATGCATCTGTGTGCGCATTTTTTGTGTAGCAATACTATTTTTACCATTCGTGTATAGAGTGTTCATTCTTAGTATAGGTACTTAGTGAAAAAACACAATAGAACACTCAAATAATAACTTGAAAACGACTGTCTGGATTGTTTTAGGTATTGAATATAAACTTAAGCACTTGAAAAGCCCCATAAAGAAAAGTTCATTCACCGGTTTCTTGAAGTCGACAATGGGCCCTTGATGGAGCACAGCGTAAACCCGATCGTACCACTCAGAAAATTTGCAAATTTACCAAGAATTTAGATAGGTAAATCTCATCATAACCCTAGAAGATACATATTGCGTGAAATCTTATCAGAGAGGTTGGAATTGCGTCTTGTGTATGAAGGAACTGTGCTTCAAGCATAGCAGACAGAGCCTTTGAAGAATTGGCTACATTTCGCGATGGCCTCTTTGACAAATAAATTGCTCAGCCAAAAGCCGTCGGCAAGAGTCGACACACGACCCCGGGGTTGGACTGCCTGAACCACCCATTCTAGGAAGTTCCGATCGTCAAGTTCAATTGCAGCTGTTCCTGCACAGTGCTCAATGCAGTGGCGCGTATGAGCAGGTATAACCTTTTCCTTTTTTTTTTGGAAGAGTCATAGATCACGGACTGTGTGATGCATGTATCTTTCTGATTAATTTGCTTCGTTCTGAAAACAAATTATCACAAGTGAAAGATAATGAGTAGTAATTGAGAACTAGTTAAAAAGTGCTGTAAAGCAGGTGATTACTTTAGGTAGGAAACGAAGTTGATCAATAGATGAGAACTTAGTCTATACTGGGTTGCAGTTGCAGGTACACACCATTGCCAATAGCTGGTACACTAAAGTTCAAAGAGGGTGAAATGTATCCAAAATGATTGCATCATAAGTCCCTTGAGTAGGGACAGCCTTCAGGAGATCAATTCCTGCAATTTCATCCGAAATAAGGTAAGAACAAACGATAAAACTAGACGTAGTTACTCCATCTTCGGCATTCCGTACGATCGGGGATCGGTGCATCCAATCATCGCAATCCATTTGGCCGTATGGTTTCACCCATCTAGCAACGGAATGGTTGCTATAACATGTAGATCAAGAAGATAGATTGAGAGAATAAGATGTCACTAAAGTCAAAAAACATGGGCCCAATAGAGACGTTAGGAAAGTTTTCATGCCAGTATTTGATCGGGAGCTAGTGCAAGTTGATCCTCACGATTTTTCATGAGAATCTTTTCTAGGGCAACGAAAAACCATGAAAGGAAAACACACATTTTTCTAACCCTAGATTGCGCAATATCTCGCACAAAAATCTAGTTTGGCGGTTTTTTTTTGTCGAAAATAAATATTTCATTCATATCTGAAAATTATATTAAAGGTTCAAAATAAAGCAAATCACAAACAGTAGAGTAGAACGATAGAGCACAAATTGTTATGATAAGCACACACTCATTCTATAGGAACTCCTAAAATTAAATCTAGATAGGGAGAGAAGAGCTTTCAAAACTAGATTTAGATTGGGAGATGAGAACTTCCAAAATTCAAAAAAGTCGTATAGTTGCTTCGAGTGCAGCATAAACTCATCGTATTCCTCCTCGATCCTGTCTAATTTCTTGGCCCGGAGGATTTGAAGTGGCGGGTTGATTCCTAACGATTGAAGCGAAAAATAAGATCAACGAGCAAAGAAGAGCATCACAACGAACAAAGAAAAAAAAAAATAGATGAAAATAATAAAATATTCCCGTATTAAATCGGGAGAAGATAATCTCAATTCATATTGAGAGGAGCTTGGAGTGGAAGAGAAAAAAAAAAAAAAGCAGCTGGTCATGCGTCCAATTCGTATGGTAGAATGAAACTTGATCATTAGTAAAATGAAACTTAACGATTAGTTATTCGTGAGGTTCTCTTTAAGTCAGGAATGATCATAAAAATACAACGATTGGCTCATAAAAGGGCGCGGCAAATTAACAAATGGACTATTTAAATAGCCGAGTCGTACTTGAGCGTACTAAAGGAACTCCTCTACATTATTTTGTAAATCAATTCTGTAATTGCTATCGTGGTCCTTACATTAAAGCATCATCGTGGTGCAATTACCCCACGCGCATAAAAAAAAAAAAGATTGGTATTATTTAACGAATGGTTTTGGTACACAATTGTCCTAAGGTTTGGGAGACATGACACCATCTTCCAAAAATTTATATTATTATAATCGTCGGGCGTGATTAATTAATCGAGATTAGTGGAGGAAATCGTGTTGTTCTCATTGTTAATTATTTTATTTTCCCATTTTTAATTCCTATCCTTAGCCAAATGCCCTATAGTGGAATGATGAGATGTCACAAAGCCCGCACAGTAAAGATGCTTCAAGAGCATTTCTTCTCCACACACCCTTCTCCACTTGCTCTTAATTCCCTGCACCATGATATTTTGAGATAAATGCACTGAAAATCATAAAATTTATCATAAAATATAATTGAATTCTAAAACTTTCAAAAAATGAAATAAAGTCCTAAAATTTATTACGAAAGTACAATTGAGTCGTAAAACTTTAAAAAAAAAATGCAATCAACGAAAGGATTCGATTGAATCGATTTGACAAGTTTAAGTACTTGATCATACTTTTTGAAAGTTTTAGGATTCAATTGCACTTTTTAACAAGTTTTAGGACTTAACTGCACTTTTTGAAAGTTTTATGACTCAGTTATACTTTCATGACAAGTTTTAAGACTTGTAATGCACTTTTCCCTAATATATTCTTTGATTAACTATTACTGCCCCTTCAATATGCTTCTTCTCAAATAATTCTGGATAAATTCAAGCATGTCAATTTCTAGACTTTATTTTCGTGGACCGTGACTTTAACTCTTATATTTTATTATATATGTTTGATTGTATATGCTTTTCCTTTCTTCATGATTAGCTTTTTATATGATTGTCTTTTCGCGTGCGGTCCCTGAATTTGTTTTATTAGGTGGCATGTTGCTATCATCACATCTCAAGTGCTGTCGTCTCTTCACGTTCACCCTCCTCAGGTGTCCACTTCCTTTTATTTTGCACACCTAATTACTACACAAAAGCCATGGCCTACATCCTAATCGCATCTTCGTTTACCTAACAAGGCTTGCTCCAACTTGAAGCCTAATTATTGGAACGTAGGTCAGTCCATCAGTCAAATCAAAGGGCAATTTCTTGGCATATGTAATGATGGCGGCCACCCTCGATTCTTTTAACCACCTTGGCTGAAAAGAGCAGAAGATGAAGGAACGATGGCCCCTTTCCAGCACAAATATGTGGTGCAAATAATAAGCATTATAAGAAGAAAAGCATTAGAAATCACGGGAATATACATCGCGGCCATCGCTACGAGCTTAGTCTTTGCATACACGGCTGCGTGTAAACCCAACACATGTGAGCCATTAGATCATAACGGGCCCATGTAAGTTTTGCCAAACTTGTTAGCCGGTATATGTTGGGTTCATTATGTAAAAAGGTCACATGCAAACGAAAAAAAATACCTTATACCCTCGGACGAAAATATCCATGAATTATACCTATTGGACATGTACAATCTTACTTTTCAAACGATCTAAAAAAGTATGAAACTTTTCTCGAGGGATATAAGTATCTATTGCCGACTTTTCCATCCAAAGAAGTTTATTTGGTAAGATGCGGTTGATGGCAGTGGCATGATATGTCAGTTGGGAGACATTGTCTAATCAGTCATAAACCTATTCTACGAATGTCAATTCAGCTATGGACTTTCCAATTTTGATAATTTAGTCGTAAATCTTTGCACGAAATTTTAATATAATTATTCCGATCAATTTTCGCCGGAAAATTACTGATATGGTGGTATGCCACGTAGGACGACAAACAATAATTGAACCGCCATGTATGCGATTTCCAATTAAAATTAATCAGAAGGACCACATTAAAATTTTGCGAAAAGATTTGGGAATAAATTTGCAAGATTGAAAAGTTTAGTACTGAAATTGACATCCGTATAATAGATTTAGAACTAATTGGACACTTTTCCCTATTAATTGAGTCAAAATGACGCTAGTTTGCTTCTATTATAATGGATTAGTTGCTCCATTCGTTATGAAATCAATTATTTGAAACCTCAATTTGCAAACTCGAAACGCACATGGAACTTTATGATTCGCTCTAATTCCATAAATTAGCTCACAATTGATGGCATGAAATCCTAATTTGCGAACTCGGTTGTACGCATCACCACCGTTAGCCACACTAGATACTGCATAAGCACTTTCGTCGAAAGAGATAACGTTGAATATTTTCGTCTATAGATTAAAAGTTTGTGCTTTCTTTCGGAGTTACCCAAAAAGGATATAAGGTGGTAAATTATTTTTCTTTGTTTTCTTTTTTTGGCATTTGAGCTATGTAAAAATCTCGTATTAGCGGGTAACCCAATGCCGGGCTCTTGCTCTTCCTCGATTCTTGAAATCGCATGGACTAGTGAAAGTTGTTTAGTGGTCTGGCAAAAGAATACTTGGTCTTTGCAATTCGTACATTATTCATAACAAGTGTCGAGGGCACGCGCTACTCATTTGCGTGATCGTGAATGTGGGATACATGAAAACGAAGAAATCATCTTTTGGCAAAAAAAAAAAAAAACTCGGACGATTATTTAACCGAGTAACTGTAATGGGTTGTCATTAAACATGTATGAAGAAGATCATTTTACATTAGCAAAAAATATATGTTTTAAGCTATTGACCATGGAAAGGAGGTGAAGAAAAAGAAGGCCACTTCAGATGTGAAGGAGTTCTATAATATTATCCGCCCTCCATCCGTCAACTTTTGTATGTATTTTCTATGCATGAAGTAGACATCTGTTGTCCTCACTCATCCACCTTCCACGTCACAGTCTCGATGTGCGCAAATTTCCTCGAATTAGCACCAAAATTGGGAAACGGATCAATAATTAAGCTTCTCCTCTCTGGGTTTTGGGAGTGTCGTAGTTGTAGCAGGAGTAGCTTGTCCACTGAGGAGAGAGGAGAGAGAGAGAGAGAGAGAGAGAGAGAGAGAGAGAGGAAAGTGTGACGTGAAGGAGTTTGGTGGGGAGCTCGTGCTGCGTGTTCTCTGTGCCTGCTGTGAGAACTTGGGCTTGAGTTCAAGAACTCTGAAAAGAAGGAAAACAAAAACTTCGGGTGCTTCTGTTTGTGCGGTAATGGCGGCTCGCAGGATATCATCGTTGCTCTCTCGCTCCCTCTCTGCTGCTCCTGGGTGTTCTTCTCTGCTGCTCTCCCGAGGTGTTGACCGAACCTGTCTTTCTTTCTTTTTACATGTACACTTGTTATTCTTGAATCTCTCGATCTTGAAAAATGGTTATGGTGCTCGGTCTGTTGGTCTCGGGCTTGGAATCAGAAGATTGATGTTGATCGTATATTCATGCATATATCCCGAGCTGATGGATTCCTATCCTACTATTTTGGAAACTTACTGCTACAAGACCTGTTTTCTGGCAACTTTCACTGGACCAACAAACAAAAAGCAGAGAAAGATAAAAGGGGGATACTCAGCTCACTGATCTTGATCAGCCTGTTCATTTTCATGTGTCTTTGCTTCCAATATTTTTTCTCAGTTCTGATAAATCTGTAAATCCCTCCAAAGTTTTGAATCTCTTAAGAAAGGATGACTCAAACTGATCATAGATGAGAATTTTTTTATCCCCTGAACTTAATCAATGGATTTCAACCTCCAGGGAAAAATCCTGGCTCGAGAAGGAGTATCAACAGGTTCAGCACGGCTGCGGCTGCGGCTGCGCTTGAGGAGCTAGTCACCCCGCCTGTTCAAGTCTGTTACACACAGCATTTGATCGATGGTCAATTTGTTGATTCAGCCTCAGGTGATCCTTTACTTTATCGTCAAACAAATGGAAGTTGAAATCTCTGGGCTCATCTGATCATCACTGTGAACTAATTTGTTCTCTGTTTTCTATAGGGAAAACATTCCCGGCCTATGACCCGCGAACTGCGGAGGTGATTGCCCACGTCGCCGAGGGCGATGCTGAGGATATTGACAGGGCGGTGGCTGCCGCTCGGAAAGCCTTCGATGAGGGGCCGTGGCCGAAGATGACTCCTTATGTTAGAATCTAAACCTTTTCCTTGCGCCTAATTGAGTTGAATCGGCACAGTTGGAAATAAAAATGTGGATCCCTTACATTACGAGTTGTATCTGCTATTTGCTACCTTTCTGTATTCAGGAAAGGTGTAAGATCCTGCTGCGCTTCGCCGATTTGGTCGAGAAACATAGCGAGGAGCTTGCTTTGCTGGAGACATGGAACAATGGAAAGCTTTATGAGCAGGCTCTTCACTCGGAAATCCCATCGCTGGCACGTCTCTTTCGTTATTATGCCGGTACTAAAATGAATTCTCTCGTCGTTTACTAGGCATGTACTGTTAGTGTTCGAAATGGCTAACGCATCTCGATCCAATTTCTCAGGATGGGCTGACAAAATACACGGACTAACTGTTCCGGCTGATGGGAATTATCACTTGCAGACACTGCATGAACCGATCGGTGTTGCAGGACAGATTATTCCGTGGAACTTTCCGCTGATCCTGTTTGCTTGGAAAGTCGGGCCTGCTCTTGCTTGTGGTAATACTGTCGTCCTTAAATCCGCCGAGCAGACGCCTTTGACTGCTCTATATGCTGCAAAGCTTTTTCATGAGGTAAAATTCTCGCGCTCCCCGCCTTTTCACATCATCCACACTGACGTAAGCAATCGATTACTTTCTAATTTGAGTTTTCTGAATGATGATGGTTCAGTCATGTGGAGGCCTTTTATGTCCTAATGACTCAGAATAGGTTACAAACTGATGGTCCCTTTTGTCAAATCAAACGTAAACCTGCTTCATATGTAGACTCGAACAACATGTTTTCCTCTGTATGCGAAAGTTCCTTTTTCGGTTCTTACAATGTAAGACTGAAGTTTAATCAACATGTGTTCGTATAACATAGAGAGAACATAAGACAATGCTATCTCCCTCTCTTGTCCAAGGTAATGCTGGTGTAATAATCCATTTCCTTCATGTCAGGCTGGTCTTCCGCCGGGCGTCCTGAATGTCGTTTCTGGCTACGGTACAACTGCGGGTGCTGCCCTCGCAAGCCATATGAAAGTGGACAAGGTACATTAGGATTATCATTTCGGGCTTGACTTTAAATTTCAGTACATATGATGATGGTGGCATTCGTGGACCTAAAACATTCTCATGACATGTCGATTTTTAACAACCACTTGCTATGTTGTTTCGGCAGCTCTCCTTCACAGGATCAACTCAAACCGGTAAAATCATCCTTGAACTGGCTGCGAGGAGCAATCTTAAGCCGGTGACTTTGGAGCTCGGAGGAAAGTCGCCTTTCATCATATGTGAAGACGCCGACATCGATGAGGCCGTTGAGGCTGCGCACTTTGCTATTTTCTTTAATCAGGTTACTCATGGCATGACCTTATATCATTGCCCTGGACTCGTGATTTATATGAAACTTCTCGATAGTGAATGAGAACAATGTGTCCCTACAGGGGCAATGTTGTTGTGCCGGGTCACGTACCTATGTGCATGAACGAATCTACGATGAGTTCTTGGAGAAAGCAAAAGCTCGTGCTATGAAACGTGTGGTGGGCGATCCCTTCAAAAAGGGTGTCGAGCAAGGTCCCCAGGTACATGATTTTAGGTTTCCTAGTATATATTATGAACATGCACACCGTGAATGGGATTCTTGAATAGTTTTGAAGAGTGGACTTCCAAGAAAAACCTTTAGCAGAGTATGCGTAGAAGTAAAACAAGATGAAGCAAGAAAACATTGAACAAGTTCAGGCTTTGCCAAAATAGGAAATCATATATAATTCAAGTTGACGTTGAGGGAATGCAGGTCAGTTTTCTTTGTAAATAACCTGTTTTTACAATTGGCGACGGGGTTCTCTACAACGATGTGATCCGTCGGTCATGATCTCATAACAGAATATGGTGCTTGTAAATGGTAGTAACACTTGCTAGGACCTCACGTCATTCTTTCAGATTGATGCGGCGCAATTCGAGAAAATCCTAAGATACATAAGATTAGGCGTCGAAAGCAACGCGACCCTCGAGTGCGGAGGTGACAGATTCGGGTCCAAAGGCTTCTTTATACAGCCAACAGTTTTCTCCAATGTCCAGGTTTTGCTTATTGCCTTTCTAACTTAATCTCCTCAAAGGGAGCTTGATGTTCTGTTTCTTTTCGTTTTATGGTTATGCAACTAAATCTCCTTGCATCAGGATGATATGCCAATAGCACAGGACGAGATCTTCGGCCCTGTTCAATCGATCCTGAAATTTAAGTGAGTAAAATGACCAGTAACATCATATCCATCTCTCTTTAGGACAAGATTCTCTGAATCTGGCAGTTAAATACCTCAGTCAGGGAATGAAACATAGGCTTTGTTATCATAATCTATTTGCGACTCTCGACTGATAACTTCTGTTTGAGAGTAAAACAAGAACGTGGAATGGTAGGAAAAGATGATAAGTCCATTACAAGCTTCACAGAAACCAGTAATTTATTATCGCGTATTGATTGAATCATGCATTGATCATATCATGCTGTGAAATGCTAACCTTGTCCTTGAACTCAGGGACCTCAATGAAGTGATACGGAGGGCGAATGCGACGTCATATGGTCTCGCTGCGGGAGTCTACACCAAGAACATCGACACGGCCAACACACTGACTCGGGCGCTGAGGGCCGGGACCGTGTGGGTCAACTGCTACGACGTGTTTGACGCTGCCATCCCGTTCGGTGGGTACAAGATGAGCGGAATCGGCAGGGAGAAGGGGATCTACAGCCTCAACGGCTACTTGCAGGTGAAGGCTGTGGTGACTCCTCTCAAGAACCCGGCATGGCTATAGAAATGTGAAATCATAAAGATAATCCTTAACCATGTTCAGGTGTGCTTTTACAGAGACTCTCTCTCCGTGCTGAGATAGAACACCTTGCGATCTGTGTTATGATAGCGTATTGAAGCAACATGATGAACTTCTATAATAGGGTCCTTGTTACCTATTGATGGTTCGTGCTGAGTAGTGTTCTTTGTCCTCATGGCCAATCTTTTGAAGGGGCACTTACCTTTTTTGTCCATTTTGATCAAATTTCCACAGCAATTTCGGGTAGCTGGTGTGAATAGATTCGACTCCGCTCACGATACGAGTGACTGGTTTTCTCAAATGATACGTCGAACAAAACGAAATGGTTAAGGAAGAACCATTTACGGTGTACATGTTGATCGGTCCCCCTCAATCAATTGTTAATCCAAATGCTATCCATCATTGTAGACCTCGGCAGATCGACGAATTCGATTAATGAAAAGAATGATTCCATAACGTTTGTCACGGCAACAAGTGAACTAGAGATGCAGTTGGTATCGCTAGTGATTCTGTCATTTTGAGGAATCATTTTCTCGGAAACAAGACTACGTAAAACACACGCTCGAGTTCTTGCTCATTGGAGTAATTGTTTTTCTCAAGAGTTTGACATGTCCTTCATAAGGAAAAATACCAATTCGCAAAATAATACGCAATCTTTTACCATTATTGGTAAATTGATAGGAATTTTCAAACGTCGATAAATTTAGCAATTGCCATATTCCTTCCATTCGCACCGTCATCTCTTTCATGTGTGGGACGACATGAAATTAGGATAGTAGAAGATAAGAAATTGTGGATGCTGACGGTTCGAAGTTGCTATGAGTCAGGGTTACCCTCCATAATCGCCACTCGGGGTTTTTCAAGCTTGATGAAGGGTATCGAGCCATCATCAACAGCTTCCGTGGCACTAGTTTCCAATTAATTTCGTTTGGGAAGGAGTTGCACGAGGTCGCTTTGAAGGGATAACATCGCCGGTGTGCTCGTCGGCACTGTGCACGTGAAAGGAATGACGTTCCGGAATATTAATCGATGCTAATAAGTCTGCAACAATGTATCTACAGTTCTCGAGATGTCTAATTTGCAAAGGGTTATGCATTTCACTAAGATTTTCCAAAAGTTTGTGTCTAGTATTTGCAGCAATGGCAATAGGAGGAGAGTATTCTGTTGCCAAATTGGTGCAAGACGCTTACTTCTCGCACAAGCAACGTGAGCAGTTTAAAACACTCAAAACGGCGTCGTCCCGTAGCATCTTCACCACCTCTGCGAACAGAGAAAATAACTGGCATAGCTTCCATTAGCGACGACGCACCGGGAGATTCCACGAAGAAAATCGCGAGTGAAGGTCGAGATCGCGATCGAATGCGGCGATTCGTTGCCTAGTTCCTCGTTTCCCTTCTGTTGATTTTTTTGATCCTAATTTCTTCGCGGCGTCGCTAGGGTTTTGCGGTTGTGCTTGTTCCGGAAGTGGGTGCGGAATCTGAAAAGTTTTCGGATTTGGCGAATGTTTGGCAGCAGGTGCGATTTCCGTGAGCTGCTTCCGGGGGATTCGAGATGGCGGCGGAGCCGAAAGCGGCGGCGGAGGACGCGAAGAACGATCTGTTCGAGGACGACGACGAGTTCGAGGAGTTCGAGATCAATGAAGGTGCGGTTCGTCCTATTTTTCCCTCGGATTTGAACCTGAAACGGTGCCAAATGAGCAAGCTTTTTGCGAGACTTGCGTTGTTTGGTTTCCTTATATGGAGTCTCTGCGGGAAAAATTGTACCTTTGTTCCGTTAGGTATCAGAATTTGGCCACTCGGTCATCCGTCGACTTTCTAGGATTCTTGATCAGGCATTTCTTGGGCAGAAATAGTGTCTGTCGCCGCAGGTTTCTGGAATCCGGATGTTGTTTTGTCTGCTGAATCGATGCTGGTGAGCGCGATCGGGTAAATGGGTCTGAGGAATGTTGAACGCTTCTAGGAGTTAGTTCTGCGTTTTGCGATGAGGGGGCGTATAGCTAGACTGACCTGTTTCTGTTGTCGTGTTTCTTCGATGTGAATGCATTTCTTCCGGCGATACCACGAGGTAATACAGACGATCTACTAGAATGTGAGCTTCCAGGGAAGAGCTTTACTTCTGATTATCGATAAAGGTGATCAGAGAGCTGGCTAGACAAAATAGCTGCATGGAAGAATTAGGAAATTCTGTCGTAAGATGTGACTATATTTCTCCATGCCTTGTTAGCTCTTCAAGGTGGGTGCTTTGTTCTTAATCTGGTGTTCTCTGTCTTGCCAGTCTAGTTGTTCCATAATATTGGTCACATACTAAATTTTGCTGGCGGCATGTTGATAGAATTGTCATGCTTATAGGGTTCTTTGCTTGCTTGCTTGCTTCTTATGTGCCTTATTGTGAGAATTTAGATTGTTGGTACTGAACTTATAAGCGCGTGTCATCCTTCTTGTAGTGTCAAGAGGGTTTTACTTCGTCTAACCGCTGGGAAGGTCCATGTATTCTGAAAACTTGGACCAGTCGTTCTTCTTGGATAGAGATGCTGTTTGTTATCTCCTCCTTTTGTTTGCTGAAATGTATCTTCATGGCAGAGTGGGATGCTCAGGAAGAGGTAACAGAAGCGCCCCAGCAGTGGGAGGATGATTGGGACGATGACGATGTGAGCGATGATTTTTCTCTGCAGCTAAGGAGAGAACTGGAAAATGCTGCCAAGAGCTGAAGATTGACCTAGGAATTCTGGATTGTCGCTCCTAGTTTGTTTTTTTTTTTGGTCGGAATGTCGCTCCTAGTTTAAGGTGTTGGTTTAGTAATCATCTTTAACTTAGTTTCCCTCGCAAAACAAACTCTGTACCTTCGCGTGTTTAGCTAGAATCTTCCGCATCCCCTCTTGTTAAGAGATTGAAATTCTGAATTTTAGCTCTTTTGCTGCTCGCTCCGCCCCTGCCCCTGCCCTCCTCCCTTCTCTAATTCACTTGGAAATGCAAGTATAGAATAAGGATACATCGAATGCCAATTCTGCTAAGTGATATCAAACGACAGAGCAAGATGTAATTTCTTTCTTCCACAGAGTACATGATTCTTCCTTCGGGTTCGTGAACACCTATTGTTGGCTTATCCGCTGAAGGTGGCATAATTATCTAGTGAATACATAGGAAAGTCTTTCCTATTGTTATATGGATTCTTCGAATTTGAGAACTAATCGTATGTTTTCCTTATCAGATCATTTTTTCTAGGCCCCACGTTGACAGTTAGTTCTTTGACATCCCTGTACCTAGTTTGAAAGAGGTTTTTGCGGAGTGCCTCTAATATTCAAATCTGCAGCTTCAGTAGATCTTGTACCCCAAAATCCTTCAGTTAACAAAATGGCTCACTAACATGAAGATTCTTATAAAAATAAGACAAACACTGCGTTTGGCAAATGTTTGGTAAATGCCATCGACCGTGGTACTTGTCACAGAGAAGAAAATAGACGAGCCAAAGAGTATCTACTACGGCGATCATGTACCTGTCTTAGGGCACAGCCATGAAAAATTGAAACCCTGATCACAATGAGATCCCTGAAAACACTATGGCTTTGTTTGTGGCTTTCGAAGTTCAAACCAGGAATCTCGGATGGTCGAGCTCTCGGCATTCTATGTGAGTTCGACGAGAGCATTCTGCTCTATTCGACCATCCTCTATCAAACCGGCGCTGCTTTCTGGAGGAGCTATGCCGGTCCTACAAATGGGACAAATGGGCGTCTTCAACAACCATGAATCTATACATTGAGCATGGAAGCAGTGCTTGCAGTTAGGCAATAGCCTGCACTTCTCGCCCGCTTTGAAATTCTCCAAGCACACCGCACAGTCCACGTCCCTGCTGAAAGCCTTCTCCTCGGAACCGTACTCGAAGCAAGGAAGCTTCTTTAAGTCCTCGGTTGACAATTTCACGGTCGTGGAGTTGCCATTTCTCTGCACCAGACCTCCCCTGAATCCTCCTTCCCGGAATGCTCTCCCTACTATGCACACATGTATCACCACCAAGACCGCGATGCCCACAAACAGCAACACCACAGAGACGATTATTTCCATCACCATACTAGACTTCCATAGCAGAACAGCACGAAAACAGAGGAGTTCTCATCTCCTCCATTCTTCTTCTTCCGGTAGTTGGTTCTCTTGATGTCGACTGGATCGGGTTGTGCTCATCAGAAACAGAAGCAGAAGAGGAAACTCCCTTGCAGGGTCAAAGTCTCATTCAAAAATCACAGCAAAGATCTTTAATTTTTATCCGCACCCCAGTTCTTTTCAGAAACTCTGCAGTTTACGTGAAGAGGAGGCAGAGACTGAGCAGCCTTGAGGAAGCAAGTGAGCACCACAAGTGTTGTGCGTGAGATCTGTGGAGTTAGGTGGGCGAAAGCAGCAACCTGAAGGTGGCTCTTTGTTACAAGTGTTGTTTCCGTCTCCCGTGCCATTAAATAATAAAAGAGAATCTGAAGCAAGACAACAGGAAAATCATCCCTAATTTCTCTTGAAAAGTCCAAGATCTATAGTGGGGGTCAAATCTATCCCAAACCAGAGTGGACCCAGTTCTTCTCAGAGCGGACCCATGCACCCTCTAAAACAAGTCACTAATTATCATTAGCTACCTAAACATATCATAGCACCCTTCTCTAATCCAATAATTAGGAGGATTTTATCGGATAGATTTAGCGGGTACCGCCCGAGATTAGGTATTTTTAGAAATGACAACTCCGTTGTAGCCTCCAATTAGTCAGGCTCTCCAGACTCAAACCCCGGAGACGCAAAACATATGAAAAGATGTACTTGATCTGCTTTGCAACTGAATTTAGACGGGATAACGAGAAACCAATCAAGAAAACAAAAAGAAAAAAAAATGATTCATGAAATGGATTTTTCGGTTTCTTTCCCTGAGCAAGCATGATAAACTTCAACCTCCAGGATCAAGAAATCCACGATTGAAGCAAATTCTTGAAAATTGAAATGTTAGGATTGAAAATAATCCACTTGGGTTCCCTATGGGGTTAAACTGATGAATTGCCACAAGAATCTCCAATATAATATAAGGGTAGTGCAAACGTATTCCAAACTCAATTTGCTGTTCAGCTATGCACTCAATTGCCAAGATTTACTCAACACGAGTAATGGCGACAGGATTGATGGTGCCAACACGCCTATAATTGGCCGATATATATAAATTATCGATGACAATGACTTGTTCCTATCTTCCTTCTCAAAGCCCCTCTCGCCACTCATCACAGAGAGTTTGCATTAACTCAAGTTGTCGATTCCTGATTAGCTGTCTCCATCCACATTGAATCAATAGGAATGATCGGGCCGAAGGCAATTCGGCCACATAAGGGCCCTAAATATCGGGCCGGCGCCCGACACGGCCGACCGTTTGAGGCGTTGGACCGGCACGGCATGGACCATTGGTTGTAGTCGTGGCCAGCCCGACCTAGTTTGACACCTCTATTTCTCGCCCTTCGTTGCCTTTCTTCTCGGCTAACATAATTCGCGCCCTTGTTACTATTTCCGTAATCATGTAAAGGCATGATGCATTTGGAAGACATGTTCAGTCAAAGAGCACCGTTAGATTTTCAAAATATATATACTAAGCGACGCGACAAGATTGCAAGTGGACATTTAAAGAAATGGGTCATGTTCAACACTCATTTATTTTGATCTAAATACATCACGTTGTTTGGGGACGGAGATGGAGCGTGAAGACTTTGTTGGCGGGGTCAATAGGCAAAGCCAAAGACTCTTAATTGCGCTCAGTTTTGTATCTATCATACTAAAGATAAATTATAACTTAAATAGAACCTTTAAAACACAAGAAGGACTATATAAATAATAGACAAAAAAATTCCTTTTATATATTTGAAAGATTGTAATAGTTGTATTTCGCAATGATAAAGATGTGATTTTCTATTTGAAAAGCACTTCATTATTGTCCTATGTGATTGAATGCATATTTCCTAAGATACCCGATTTGATAGTTATATATTAATTAATGGATGCAGATGAAATACAATGGACAATATCTGCTAACTTTACAAGCAAATCAAGTGATGAATAATTTTTCTTTTGTTGTCTAAATTAACTTTCACAAAACTCCATTAACCATTCCGATAAAAACTCAAAAGTCTTTTTTCGCTAATAATGGAATGTTCGAAACTCTTTCAGCACTTGACTTATCTCCGTTGAGTTTAGCAATCCTCTCGTCCAACGCACACCGAGTAACTAGTACAGACACGCCGAATTATACCACCGGGGATGAGCCCGAAAGAATACAGAAACATAATGATTCTAGCCTAACCCTTGAATGGAGGAGGACATACACAATTGTCACTCGAGTAATCACATGAGTTTTAAAAGATCAAAGTTATAGCATATTTCAAGGGTATAAATATCAGATTAACGCTCTAGTGTCTCACGCTCCATATAAGTTCCCACATGAGAAATTGGAGGAGGTGATTTTATGGGGTTTCCCCTCCTCCGGATAAGGGGGTTTTATGGGGTTTCCCCAGATGAACCCACTAAGGGTCCGCCAAGCTCTACAGTTTAGGAATACACCTAGCCGACCCTAAAAAAAAGAAAAAAAAAACTCTGGCGGATAAAACTGAGCAACAAGAAAAGTCCTATATATACCTTGTTTTCCTCTAAATCTAAGTTTGCCATAAGCCGAAAAAAAAAAAATGGCCCCGTTAGAAAGTTAAGAGTAAGCTCTTAAATTACGTGTCAAGTTTGGGTCGGGGCCGAAACCCGACTTGACTGGGATGGTTTGATTTGTTCAAACTCGGTGTGAACGGAATCGGATTTGGAATATTAGGCGGAGGAACACGATTTTGTATTCCGTGGAAGGAAATTATCCAAGTTTTGATCGGTTTGACTTCTTGGACTCTTTCTTTACATTTTACATGTTCGGAAGGAGAGGAGAGGGACGTCTTTTGGCCGGGGTGCTCGTATTATTCTTCTTCTTCTTCTACACAAAAATCTGCATGCGGGACCAGGATATGGTCTGTGAGAGAGGAAGAAAAGGCAAAAGGCACATGGGGCTTTTTCCTTCCTTGTACCAGCCGCAAAAAGAATACTACTCTTTTATTTCGGTCGGGTACAGTAGCGGCCGCGTGGCAAAAGCACACATGTTTCAGTCACACGAAGGAACGCTCTGCACAGAAAGGAGCGCCGAACCCGTGGAGGATTTGGAATTCAGCGTTCCGATCGAGTTGTTTTATTTGTAAACCGATCGTGGGGTCTGGACGTAACCTGGGTGTGGGAAACACTCCGGCGCGCGAGCCATTGTAAGGCCGTGATTCTCCGATCATTAGTGAGTTGTTTGCTGCTAGAATAGGCTAAGTACCGATGCTCGCATCGAACCAGATAGATCTCTGGCGTTCTTTGTCATTCGTCATTTATTTCTCCAGTGATTTGGTGTTGATTCGATTGTTATATCCTGTTAATATCTGGAATTATTTCTTGTCAAATGACTTTATTACTGCTGTTAAGGGTGGAGATTGCCTCCCTCTGGAGTTCTGTTCCTTCTCTTTCTCGGTTTTCCAGTCGTGAGTTCTCTTTTTCAAGTGTTGCGATGGTCAGTGTGTAGTTGTTCAGTTTCATGCAGTTCACCGGTTTCATTTTCTCCCAAAAGATTGATAGAGAGAAAATGACACGGTCAATCGAGTTTGACGCGAAATCTATCGGATTTAGCAATTCAAATGGAGTTAATATCTGTCGAGAACTATCCATTCATGTCGTGAATACAAAATTAGGACCAAACCCCCCGTCAAAGTTCTACAAATTATGGTGCCAGACCAGTCCATTAGCTCTGTCCAAAACCCTAAAACTCACATGTATGTAGCTCTACAATAGCACAACAACATCAACAAGAGCCATAACTCTTTAGGAAGAATGCTAAAGCAGTACAAATTGAGATAGTTTCACTGAAACACATCATATGACCTTACCATAAAATCTGCTTAGAAATTAAGTTTTGGCCTCTTCTCTCCAGCATCTCTACAGGTATACTCCTTGAAGTTTTACTTCGACCGCAACTCAAGGTTTATAACCACTCGCATGGATATCAATGTAGGATTTCCAGAACAACCACGACCTTGATACAGAACCTTAATCCTTATGATCTCAGTGAACTACCTTAGGGTTTTCTAACAGAGCAAGATGCCTTGCCAAAGCTACATCTTATGCAAAGAAATAATGACACAAATGGTTCATGAACTTTGCCCAATGTACAAGGCAGTCCTTGAACTTTTGATTTGTTCAATGTGATCATTGAACTTTTGGTACATTTTTAATTTAATCCATGAACTATATGAAAATGTTCAATATATTGTACCTGATCATGAATTAATGGAAGGACAATATTGAACTTTTTCATATAGTTAATGGACTATATTAAATGTGTACTAAAAGTTCAGGGACTAAATTGAACAAATCAAAAGTTCAGAGATCGCATTGCACATTGGGCTAAATTTCATGGAACATTTGTGTCATTATCTCTTATGCAAAAGATCAATTTATTTCTCGAAGTGAATCGACATGATGTAAATCGTAACTCCCTGATGAGTGGTACAAAAAGGATATTTTAGAGATCCACAATCGCTTCAGAATTGGTATATAGTTGTATCGGTATACAAACAGCACATAATAACCGTATGTAACCCTTTCACACATATCATTCTCTGTTGGCCTCTTATATTGCTAAGGTTACTTCTTCAACATTTGCTACAAATAACTATATTGCCCGCTGGTCGTGGCTACTTTAGTTCTACAACAGACATAAAATATACGTCGATTATTAATTTCGTTCCATCTCCAATCTGCTTCTGCTGATTACCATTTTTCCAGGCACAAGTTCATGTCTTTTCTCGTACTGTTTGTTGTTGCAACATTATAAGATCGATCTCTAGAGAGAGAATCAGCGGATCAATTCTTTCAATCTCTCATATGCCCTCGTGGTCTCTACTCCAACTCTACATAGTCTCACCTGCAATTCCATCACAAACAATAAAATGAGAGCTAGACATTTAATCATGGGCACGGACGAAACGCTTACAACAAAGAACTTAAGAGAGGAACCAAAAGAAAATAAAACTTAGCGATGGAAATTGTCATCCTAAATAGCAACGCACCAAGAACGAAGCGTAGTGAAGTTTTTAATAACCACTTAAAAGTAAACACCCGAACCTAGTTACGCTTCAAAGTATATGTATTTAGCCTCTACCTTCAAGACTAACTTATTATGTGGTATTTATAACTTTTGACTTGCCAAAATCAGTTATACAACACCATTTCTCTACTTTAAATTTCCTCAATAGCTTGGCTGCTCCAAGAGGCATGTACTTAAGGAACCCTAGTTTCCATTCTTTTCTTCTTCTTTTTTGTCAAAAGTTTCCATTCTTTAATTAAGGATTATGGTCTTTTTTCTGCTAAAGCAAAATTATTACATCCTTGATGAAATAATTATAGATAATGAGTTACCTGAGCATGGAGTGTGTGGAAGATCTTATCACCGATAACAGAAAAGCTGGCACTGACAACCTCAGCTCCTTCTTCCTCAAGAATGCTGATCACTTCAGACAACATGAAGTTCTTCCTCCTCCCACTGATCAAGATCACTTCCAGACATAAACCGTGGTCTCTCAGTTCAAACACTGGAGGCACGAACCCTAGTTTAGCCTCCTGATCATTCGATGAAGTCAAAGAGCTGCTTGGGTCAATCCCTACGGACTGCAGTATTGCTTGTTCCTTCCTCAGTTTCAACCCATCAATATTTTCTTTCAACTGCTTTATGTGTGACGTAGCTTGATCCAGCTGATCTTGCTGCGACAGCAATTCCTGAAATGCAAAAAAAGAGAAAGGGAAATTAAGTAAATTTTCACTATTTCTTGATTGTTGAAGTTGATATGCATGACCCGGATTTATGTACATATTTTTCTAGTTGTACACAACAAAATTTTGATAGATCAATTCCATCCATTTCCAAGAAAACTTAAGATTTCAAGAGACAGTTTATTTTCAAGAACTTCTTGTTAAGAAGCCAACAAGAAAAAAGGGAAATTCTGGCGTTATCAAACCGTTTAAGCTCGGAAAGAAGGTTAGGCACTTTACTTGATCACTTCTAGTAAACCCAGAGGGAGAGAGAGAGAGAGAGAAACCATAGAAGTGGTGAAATGGTGTTGACGAATGAGGGAAGAAAGCTTGGAGCAGAGATTTTTCATGTGGATTCTTCGGTGTTTCTCCACGGTTTTGCGCTCGACTTTGGGCGAGTGATTGTTGCTTGTGCTTTTCTTCATCTTTGAGATCCAGATTTGATCTGCTATAGTATCATTCACGTACAGAATAGAAGCTTATTGTGTCTGAACTAGAGCAAAAGGAATAGTTGAAAAGAGTGTGCGTCTTGAGAGACTCCCGAGAGTTGAGAGAGAGAGAGAGAGATTATAAATGAAAAGAGTGTGCGTCTTGAGAGACTCCCGAGAGTTGAGAGAGAGAGAGAGAGAGATTATAAATTATTGATGAAGAGCAAAGAAAAGTCAAAGTAAATGGAGAGACCACTCTGTAAGCAGCACAAAAAGCGGTCGGGTACAATGGCGGCCGCACAGTGAAGCACTTCCTTTCAGTCCTACGATGGAACGCTCCGAACAGAAGGAGCACGGAACACGTGGGGGAACTTGTTCTGTGAATTTTACATTCAATGAATTTAGATGTAATTTAAGTGTGGAAATCAATTGAGTAGACATGTTAAACGGGTGGATCAAGCCGGGTTTGGGTCGGATCATAAATGGTCCGATCTAATTTGACCCATTTAACCCGATTATGACCCATTTATCGCAAGATAAAAATCTTGACTCATACCGACCTGACTCATACACATCCCATACTCGACCCGACCCATTTAACTAAATATAGAAAAGCTTATTTTTGATAATTATTTTAAAAATTTGCATTGCTAAAACATCGATCTTCATGCAATATAAATCTTTTAAAAAAAATGGAAACTCCATTTGTTTTGTGGAAAATATAACATTTCTGAAAAATCTTTTTAGGAAAATGACAATATTTTTCGATATTTAGCTGAAACCTAGAAATGAACTAGAAAATATTTTTCATCGTTTGATATGAAAAATCATATTTTCCCTATGCACTCATTTTAATATTTATTTTTAAAAAAATGATATTTTAATCCTTTTTCTTTTTCTTTTTTTCTTTTTTCTTTTTTCTTCTTCCCCCGCCAGTGGCCGAGCACAGGCGAGGACGAGCTCGTCGATCGGGCGAGGCCAAGGCCAGCACCGGCCTCAGGCGAGCCTCGAGCCTCGCCGATCTAGCTCGCCCCAGGCCGGCGAGCTCGTCCCTCGCCTGTGGCCGGCCACTGGCGAGGGAAGAAGAAAAAAGAAAAAAAGAAAAGGAAAAAGGAAAAGAAAAAAAATATAAAAATTAGAAAAAATTAGAAAGTTGAAAATTGAAAAGTTTACTTAAGCTTATTGGATAACCCATTTATGAACCATTTAATGCCTATTTAAGACCTATTAAGTTAATAAGCAACCCATTAATGACCCATTTAAGTCTATTTTTAAAACTAAACCTGACCCATTTATAATCCACAATCATTATATATGGGTTAATATATTGACCCATTTACCACCTCTACACTTGAGCGAATAAACGTTTGTAACACTCGATTCTCCAATTATTAGTGGACCGGGCTCTCTCCGTGGAGTAGGTACCGATACTCGGTCCAAATCACGTATTCTTTTTGTTTCTTGTTCATTTCTCTGGTGATTTCGTGTCAATTTAATTACAAGATCCGGTCAGTTTATGCGTTATATTACAACAATTGATACTATAGAAAATGTTAGGGTTTCTAAAGTTGATTTGGGGTTTTTGCTTGTCTAATCACTGTTTGGAAATTTTTCTATTGCAATTATGTCCGAAACGAAAGTAGAAATTGAGAAGTTCAACAAAAGGAACAATTTGAGTTATGGAGCATTAATATACCTGCCATGTTAACAACCTAAGATTTGGAAAAAGTGTTGGATGGCAATAATAAATTGCCAAAAATAATGAAAGAGGCTGATAAGGTAGAGTTGATAGAGAAGACGAAAAGTATAATCTTGTTGAATCTATCAAATGAGGTATTGATTGAAGTAGCCGAAGAGAAGGATACTGCAGCTTTTTGTGGGCAAAACTTGAGTCACTTTATCTAAATGAATGGTTTTGAACAATTGCTCGTATACGTTGAAAATGATGTTTTTACATTTCGAATGTTTGAAGCCCATCCACCAGAGCCCACTTAGATGAGTTTATGGACTTGAAGAACGTCAATGAGGACTTGCCTAACGAAAAACAAGGTATAATATTGCCGGCATCTTTATCAAATTCTTTTGAGCACTTTACTGATTCGCTGTTATAGGGGTGCACCATGATTACCTTGGAAGATGTAAAGTCCGCATCGTTTTCAAAAGAATAGGAAAAGAAGTTACGATAAGATAACTTAGCGCAAAATTCGGTGCAAAGATTGGTTATTCGTGGTAGACACGAAAAAAGAGAATTTGTAGGTAGCAGATGGAAGGGCTATTCTAGATCGAGGTCCAACATTCGGAACCATCGATGTTATCACCGCAATGAGGTAAGGCACTATAGGAGAGATTGTCCAAAGTACATGGGTAAAAGAGTTAAGGTGAAGTCTACAAACAATGATAATATTGTTATCATAGCAGATAACAGTTCCAATGATGCTGATGATGACTGAGTTCATCGGGTGATCATTGGGTGCTTGACTCTAGATATTCTTATTATATGACCTCTCATACACACTAATTTACTACCTATCTGTAGACAAAGTGTGTGCTTGTGAAGTAGTAGGGATTAGAACAGTTCAGATTAAGATGCACGATGGAGTGATGAGAACGTTAATTGACGTAAGATAGGTATCAATCTAAGAAAGAACCTTGTCTCACTAAGTGCGCCGCTGAATGTGGAGTTTCAAATGTCTCTCGAAATGTGCTTACTTTGATGCGAGGGAAGGTAGATTGCGAGTTGTATCTCCTCCGGGGAGCTATGGTGATTGGCTTGCTAGATTCTCCGATCCTTTTGGTCAAGACACGATGCAGTTGTGACACGTGAGACTTGGACACACAAGTGAGAAAGAGATAATTGTTTTGAGTTAGGGGGTCTACTAGGAGGCCATCAAATTGAGAAGCTGAACTTTTGTGAATACTGTGCCGCAGGGAGTCCCACATCACCTGGGAGAAGCCAAGCTCCTTTGTTAAAAAGCCTTCGAGGCTACCCTCACCCTAAAAGAGCTCTTTTGGGGATGAGAACCTTAGTTGGTATCAGAGCCAGGTTTCTGTGGATCTGGGTGTGTTATTCCCCGGCGGAAGGGAGTCCCACATCGCTTGGGGATGAGAACCTTAGTTGGTATCAGAGCCAAGTTTCAGTGGACCGGGGTGTATGTTAAGCCCCTGTGGAAGGGAGTCCCACATCGCTTGGGAGAAGCCAAGCTCCGCTGTTAAAAAGCCTCCGGGGCTGCCCTCACCCTACAAGAGCTCAATGGAGGGTAAAGTTTAGTATGACAGTTCAGTAGACTTCAAAGATTGTAGGTTGCATACACTCGGTGGTGCCCGACATGTGTTGCCCTTTGTTGATGATGTTTCAAAGAAAGTACGGAATTGTCTTTTTAATCGCAAATGCGAGGTGCTTGGTTGGTCCAAGTCGTTCAAAGCAATGATAAAGTAAATAGGAAGAAAAATCATGTGCTTGAAAACTAATAAAGGACTGGAATTCGGTTTTGAGGAGCTTAGTCGATTTTGCGTAGAGGAAGGCATGGTAAAATACCACACCGTTGCCGACACACCATAGCTAATGGAGTCGCAAAACCGATAAATATAATTATATTGGAAGGAGCTCGCTTTTTACTCTCCAATGCTGGATTGGATGGAGATTTTTAGGTTGAAACAGTAAATACTAGTTGTTGGTTAGTGAATAGATGTGACGTCCCACTACGTCACATGCGACATGTATTTTTTTCCTATTATATCTCATACTTATTATTAGCACGCGGAAGCACAATAAGACAATATACATATCTTCATCTTTATACAAACATTAGTGGTTACTATCTTAATACAACATCCAAGCAAAACACAAATACATAATGTTGACACCTAAATTTTGGTGCTCCATTTAATAATTCATTGCATAGAAAAATTAGGGATCGACACCGGCCCCTAGATAAGATAATAATTAAATTGCATATAGATATTAGTTGCATTTGCATATGGGTTGGACTGGCGGTGGATGAATCTAAATAAATGTTCTGAGTTGAACTAGGCCCATGATGATGAAAATTTGGCCGAACCTATCATTCTTTTGCTCTGCACATGTGACACTTCAAGTTAACAAATATGGAGAGCAATATTACCACGATCTCGAGGATTCGGCCGCAAAAGGGCAAATATCCTGGGCATATATATTCAGCCGAGTGCAGCTTGCAATGAATAAAATGAAGGAGGGAAAGAAATAATGAAAGATCATTAAAAAATGGGAAGTTAATTGCACTCATGGGAAATATATCTTTGGCCGTGTGTAGAATGAGAAGGGATATACTAATATTTCAAAAAGAGGAAAGAGATATTGCTTCTTTCCCTGAGCAGATCCCATTGCTTTGCATATGAAAGGGGGGCTTCATTCACATTAAAATGAGGCCACACAATTCGTAATTCGAGGCCACACATATTGAAAGACCCGGCCATTACGGAGGGGAGGACGGTCTTGCGTGAAAAAGCGTGAGAGAGAGAGAGAGAAAAAGAAGAAGAATTCTCTCT